CCCCCCTGCACGCCCACCCACACAGCCCCTTTGTGCATTTGTGAAAGTGTATGCGTGCGCTGTGCAAGCGCCCCCACCCCTTTGTGCATGCGTGCAAGTGTGCATGCGCCGTGCGAGCACCCCCGCCTCCTGCGCATGGACCCTGTACAGCGCCCCCATTGGTCTGTGGTGTCAAAAAGGTTGGGGATCACTGACCTACAGGCTACAGATCTAATGTAATGGTTTCTAATTAGGATTGCTTCCCCTTTTTAAAAAAAAGTATCAGTCCAGTGCTGATCAACAGCTGCTTAAGACGCAGGGAAATTTTGTCCCTGTTTTATCACCCTAATGTTAAACAAGGCATTGCTAGCTAAGTGTTTGCCTCACTGCTTCTAGTCACCTTTAAGCCTTTCGTTCTGCTTTCAGGGATATCCGACAGGAGAGCATCCGTCAGCCTCACAGCCCTTGGCTTCGTCTCTCCTTCGTCTATAACCACTATCTCATCTTTGGGTGCATCCTTGTAGTGATGCTTGCCATTGGGCTCTACCTCCTCCGTCTACGTCGCATCCACCACCAGCAGCTTCATCCAGCTACCCTTGACCTGCTGTGGCTTGCTGAAGTGGTGCCACTATCGGCACAGGAGCCAGGCTCCTGATGAAAGAGCTACCTCCTTATGGACTCATCCATGCGATCCTTCTGGCACTCTTTTTTGAACAGACCAAAAGCTGTTATTTCCTTGGGGTTTCGTAGCCCAGAATTCTGTAGCACGCAGGCTCAGTGTCTGCTCAGTGTTGTCCGCTGCTGCCCAACAAAAGAAGGCTCATAACTCGAACAGGCGTTAAGTGGTTTCTTCTGTGCCCGGAGGCAGTTTAGGATAATCATAGACAGGAGCTGCAAGAAAGGACAAAAGCTGTCCTTTTCCATTTCTTACCATGGACAGAAGGCACCATGTTTGTAAGTGACCAAAGAGAACTTGCTTTACTCAGGAAGGGAAGGAAAAAAATCCTGGTGTGGCGTCTCCCAGAAAAGGAAACAATTCCTTATTTATCTCTATTATGAGTGTAGGCATTTTTGTTTGCTTAATGCTTAATACCTACAAGGACCAAATGTATATGTCCTTGTGACAAAGGAAGTTGTTTTATTTTTTTAAAGCAACTTGCTCCTTTTTTCCACCTACTGTCTCCCTCCTCCCTCAGTGGGGACCCCAAATGACTTTTGCACACACACACAGTATGATGGTGGTCTGAAATGCTGTGTTACACAATTGTGTCTCATTGCTGTTGGCTCAGAAGAGGGGCTTTTAGCTATTCTTGATCCACAGGAGATCACACTGAAAAATGGAACTAGTGGGTTCAACTTGTTTTCGCAGTCACAGCTAGCCCTTAGCATTTGAATCAACGATGGGCAATGTTTCATAAGGTAAATTGGTTTAATACTTGAACTCCAGTTACTGTAGCAATAAACCATGTTGACCTGGACAACCAGGGCTTTTTGATGATGTTACTTATGCCTGAGATTTTTTGCCGATTGTACATCATTCTTCGTTTGTGGTCTGGAATAGAGATAGGGGTATTTGTATATGAATACCCTTGCACAGGTGGACATAATGAGGGTCCAGCCCCTGGGGCCAGATGGTCCACTCACCGTTCCGCCACTGCCGCAACCTCCACAGACCCTTCCAGTGGTTCACTCTTCGACCTAGCAGAGAGGTTTGCCATCCCACCTCCTGCCAGGAGTGGCAAGCCGATCATGATCTCTGGAGCCATTGGAATGTGTCATGGCAGTGGCAGAATGGTGAATGGACCGCCTGGCCCCAGGGGGCTGGACTCTCGTTATGTCCACCTGTGTGGGGGTATTCATATATGGATACAGTACAAATACCCCCATCTCTAGTCTGGAGTGAAAGCCTGTGTGTACCATTCACGGGCAAGGGAGAAGAGCATCATTGGTAACTTGTTGCAGAGAGCAAACACAAGTGGCCTGAGAATTGCTTGTTCCTCCACATTTTGTGCAGAACAGCCCATACTATCATTAGTCAAAGGCCTCAATGGCTTTATTAAGGAATAACACAATTTTGATTTTTTGGAATGCACTCATACAATCTGTCTTCCTCAATCAAATGCCATCTACTGGTGGTGGATGCAGTATAGACAGAGTTGGTATTGGCCTACAATTCTCATAGTCTCCAGTTTAGGAGAATTGTAATCTGGACCAGATGTGATTCACAGATGGTCCTCCAACCCTCATTGGACTGAAATTCCCATCACTATGGCCACTGTGAGGAATCACAAGAGTTGCCACCCAGCAAGGAGCCTCGTGGCGCAGTGGTTAAAACGCTGTACTGCAGCTAAAACTGTGCTCACGACCTGGGGTTCAAATCCCAGGTAGCCGGCTCAAGGTTGACTCAGCCTTCTATCCTTCCGAGGTCGGTAAAATGAGTATCCAGCTTGCTGGGGGGGCAATGTGTAGCCTGTATAATTAAATTGTAAACCGCCCAGAGAGTGCTTGTAGCGCTATGGGGCTGTATATAAGTCAAAAAAGAAAAAAATGGGCAGGCTAGGCGCTATGGGGCGGTATATAAGTCAAAAAAGAAAAAAAGAAAAAAAATGGGCAGGCTAAAGATCCTCACTCCTGCCCACAGCATTGTTCAAGGCCTTCCAAGCTTCATTGATCAAACTAGTAATAGGGAAAGATCACATAGTAAAATTTTTATTTTCACAACACAGCTTTACAATCAATACATTCATATACAGTAGGTAACCAGTACAGAGGAAGAGGGAGGACATAAGAAAATGCAAGAAGGGGCTTATGGGGCTGGCATTACCATTTGCAAGGAAAAGAATGTATCTTGTCTCTTGGCAAAGGAAGTGTTGCAGAGCTCCATCATCAGAAATTCAATCTTAGCTCTTGTTCAGGGGAATTTTAAAACAATAGTTTCCTCCACCTACCAGAGTAGGGGGCCTTATTAGGGTCTTCACAGCAAAATTAGGTGCCTGAAAAGGCATCAATGACAATGGTAAGGAAGGGGATGGTTTGGTACATAAAAGGGTTCTTTGCTGACCCTATTGCTGTGGGGATGTTGGGCTGTCAAAGAGCTACTGAGCTTAGTGGACGGAATAAAGGATGGAGCTGCCATCCGGCATCAAAAAAAGCCTAAAAGAGAGAGAGAAACAGGCTTAGTACCAACTTTTCTCCAGAACCTGTCTTAAAATAAACTGCTGCCTTTCCCTGGGATACATACTTGCAGAGATGAGAAGAGAAAGAAGCCTATTCTACAGAAACAGCATCACAGAATGGCTATAGGCTACTTTCTGGTCCTATTTGCTAAATGATTCCTAGGTTAGCCCAACTGTTCCAGCAGGAAAATGTCTAGGAAAAATAAGGACCCAATACAGTATAGCTGTTTTTTGTAGCCTGGGAGTAAGTTTCTTTTTACTTTAAAACCATTCATAACACAGTGCAGGTGGGTAAGGACAGTTTGTCACTGCTACATATTCATTTTCTTGGGTGGAACTGTACCTGTTAAATGAGTCTGTGGCAGTCCAGGTCACTCCCAGAGGAAGCGCACATACCAGATAGTCTCATTCTTCAGCTGGGGTCCAAAGAGTGGGTTAGCTTGGGCCAGGATTGCTACAAGCCAGCTACAAGAAGAAAAGTTATGCAGAATTGATACCCCAGCTGTGTTGCAACTCCTTTTGCATCACTTCTAAAAAACTTGAAGGGATGTCTTGCTGACATCTCCATTCTGATTTAGGAGGCAGTATTGCCATGGTGAGAAAGTAAAAGCCCCCCCCCCGGTTCTTTACCCACAAATAAGTCCCGAGGAAATAGACAGTGACATACTTAGTAACAAGGCTTTGGGCCAACCAGGAGGCCATGGCATGGACAAAAGGGTGTATGGGACAGTCCAAGCTTTACCATGAAATGGAATTAAAAATCAAATTCCTTATTCATATACAGTACATCTGTTTGTGGAAACTATCCATGAATGTGAGTTAAAGTATATTTAAAGTTTGGACTAAAGAAAACAGTTCAGACATCTGTGAAGGAAAAGAGGCAGGGCAGGGGTGGAGGATCAGAGAACACAGACCACCTATTTGTGGAAAGGGAGGTGTTCACTCTTCACTTTGTTGTTGGGCCTGCTTACCTATTTCCAGAGTGAATAAAGGCCCAGAAATGAAAATCCAACATCACAGAAGAATCACCCCTTTCCCTCTTCCCAATTGCTTTCTATATGCGGCGGCCAGACTCCTAAGTGGAGCTCGAAGATACCATCACATTTCTCCTATTCTGGCCGCGCTGCATTGGCTGCCCATTCGGTTCCGCGTTGACTTCAAAGTTCTGACGCTTACGTTTAAAGCCCTAAACGGTTTAGGGCCTCGATACTTGGCGGAACGCTTACTCCCACCCAGTTCTACCCGTGTCACCCGAGCGAGTCAGGAGGTGAGGCTGAGGAGCCTGACGCTGAGGGAGGCCCGGAAGGAAAAAACAAGAAACCGGGCCTTCTCGGCGGTGGCTCCTCGCCTCTGGAACAACTTACCTCCTGACATTCGCGCAGCTCCCTCGCTGGGTATTTTCAAGAAACAACTGAAAACATGGATGTTCAGGCAGGCCGTCCCCCTTTCTACCTAATACCTTCTCTTTCTGTTATAATATATTCCGTTTCTTGCCATCTTTGGGAAAAAAATTTATTCTATCTTTTAATTTATGTAAATTAGTATTTGTGATGAGGCTTGTTATATGTTTATTTTTTAAGTGCATGTTGTAAGCCGCCTAGAGTGGTCACAATTGACTAGATAGGCGGGGTATAAATGAAATAAATAAAATAAAAATAATAAATAAATATACTCCCACTGGAGTCAAATAGGCAACCTTCTGGAAATACAACTACTGTAGCTGAATTCCCCTGACACAGCCAGTGCCCATGCTGGCTAGAGGGTTTTGGATATGGTACTTTCTGAGGAAACAGGCATTGGGGTTGCGCTCATGAGCCATTCCCCAAGCCGAAGGATGGCAGATCTCCTGCTAGGCATAATCCAGCCCCACAGACAGTCCTCCTCTGTCCGATCACCTGAGGTACTCACAAGAGATAGCAGCAAACCGCAGTGGTCACCAACATGGTGATAATCACTCTGCATGGAAAAGCAAGACATAGTAAGTTAGTTAGGGAGCCGGGATGATATTGGGAATAACATGCACAAAAGAAACCGTTATCTCATAATAGGAGGTCAGGTGTGCACAATCAACTGCCTCGGGTTTTTTTTAATGCTGCCCTATTGTCAGGCTTTCTGCCAAAAGAGGCATAGCTTATTTTTCGAGGGCAGGTAGTGTTAAAGTGGTTTTCTGTATACAGGCTCTTATATGCAGAAAACCAGCTTGACAAATTTTAAATAATATTACATACGTTTTCAAAGCGTAGGTAAGGAGGAGATTTTGCATCCGCTGCAGCCTTAAACGGCGCAGCCCATTCCCATTTATTTGTGGCTCAGGCCTTTTATGAGGCTGATTGGGGAAGAAACATCACTCGATGACCAGGAAGGAAAGCGGGCGAGGGAGTGCGGAGCACGTACTCCCTTGAGAAGATCCTGAAAAACAGGGATGTTTCTCCCTCCTTCCCACCCACCCACGCGATGCGAGCGACGGGCAGGCGCCCTTAAGGTGAGGCATTGCGCGGATTAAGGTCGCGAGTCCGTCCGGGACGGGATCGGAGCCGCACGGGAACCTCACCCCCGGTTGGGTCCCTTCGGCACAAGCCACGGCCCCGCGAATCCCACGAGACCCCAGAAGACGGAGAAGAGGACCACCGGCAACGCGAAGCTGTGCTCCGTCATTATGCTGTGAACCGCGCCGAACCTTCGGGCCGGATGGGAAGGCGAGGACCAGCCGCGTTTTGACAGCCCGGAGAGCAAAGCTCCGCCCCTTAACCCCCCCTCAGTGTCCTCATTGGGTCTTCCGGAAATGTCACTCAGATTTCGACGCCAGAATCCTCAGATCCGGAAAGCCCTTCCGATTGGCTTTGCGCCTGCTTTCCCCGCCTCCTGGCCTTCCGTGTTTTTCAGGTATCTTCTCTTGCGTCAAGAATCGGCTGTGGTTGTCGCGCTCCTGCGGCTGGCACGGCGGGTAGAGAAAAGGAATACAATGGGGAGTGGGAGAGTGGGGGGAGTGGGAGAGGGGGGGAGCGCCCCCAAAGACTAAGGAACATTCACTCCCAGGTGACCAGACGGAACGGGACGCTTATCCCGTTGCAACGGCTTCAGTCGGGATTACCATTAGGTGGTGCTCTCTGGCTGCGCTTAGCATTTTAACAAGATACAGTGGTTCTTAACCTTTGCTACTCAGGTGTTTTTGAACTGCAACTCCCAGAAACCCCAGCCAGCAGAGCTGATGGTGAAGGCTTCTGGGAGTTGCAGTCCAAAAACATCTGAGTAACAAAGGTTAAGAACCAGTGGGATAGATGATTTAAATGAAATTCTTCGATGTAAAAACACGTGTAAACGGCAATAATTCATCATGGCCTGGCTGTCAGTCTTTCTTGAACACCTGCCTGGAAAAGCTCCCATCTCTTTGACCCTCCCTGGTGGCATCATAGGGGGCAGGAGCCCCATCTCCCCATTATAAAAGAGTAGCTCCCCTCAAGGGAAAAAATCCCTCACACTTACCATGAACAAGCTAGGACAGCAATAAAAAATATCAGAAACTATTTCTATTACAGCTGGTATTACAGATCATTTAGTATTTCAGCTTTTGTGCTGCTGCGTCCTTTTATACTCCATGGATAACTGTAGCCAAGGCAAGACTGCCTCAAGCTGATTTTAAGTATGATAAAAGGACAGCAGCCTTATGTAGTTTTAGAAGTCGGAAGAAGTGGGCTTGTCCACAGAAACACATTAAAATATAGCAGTTAGTCTTCAAGGCGCCACAACATTTTTGTTTTCTTTTTTCAAATTTTTTTGTGGGGTTTTTTTGCCTTGCGTAATCTTATATATCATTGTATTTTTCTTTATTATTGTCAGGGATGGGGAAAGGCATTTGTGAGATTTTCTGTCATGTAACAAAGCAATTTCACTAGATTTGGGTACTGTGTATGCACCCTTATTTGGGGGGAAATCGGTGGGAGATTTGCGCCTTTATTTCATACAACAAATTGCCATCAGGGCCTACTGAAGACATCAAACACTGCAATACAATCATAACCTTTAAAATCATAGAAGAGGTACCAATCATAGGAGGTCCACAGTGAAAATGAAGCGCTCATGGAGAAGCTTTATTACTAAATATCATTTAATGTTTATTCTGAATTATTTGATTATAATACAGCATAAATATTCAAACATCAACAACATTCCACTCAAAGAAAACATGAGGCACACCGCTGCAGATAATTCAAGATATAAACAATTATCTGCTCTACTATTTTTAAAGTAGTCTCAAAATGTAGCTCATATTTTGTCATTTCGTTATCGCTCAAAACTCCAAGCCCATTTATCCCATAATTCTGTACTGTATGAGTTGTCAAAACTCTTATCCTACATAGATCATAGAGGTACAGCCTCTATAGAGATTAGCTCACTATTAAGACATATGGCTCAGCAGGACCTGAGATACAGCTGAAATAATAGCAGTTCTTACCCTAGAAATAATCTTATCTACTCCACACCCAGAAAAAAGGGCAATGCAACAAATGGTGGCTCACATCCTCCATGGTTTGCAACAAAGTTCTCTATGTCAGAAGGCAAAATGTCATTCTACAACTCTGTTATCTTAAGTTCAAATCCAGGACACCAGGCAGAGAAGCTTACAGGATATACAGTGAGACAGCAAATCTGAACTGTCGGCACCCAACGAAAGAGCAGGCCTATTTAGGGACCCGTCTAAGTTCATGAAGCAGCCATAGAGAAACACTCAGCAACGCCAGGGAACCTGACTGATGAGTGGCTGCTAAAGGTGTTGGAACATATAGCAGCAATGTACTGATGCCTAAGATGACCTGCAAAGGAGTAAAAGAAGAGAAAAACATTAAACTACACGTTGTACAAAGCAGTCTTGTACAGTATATAAGTAAGAAATTGGGATTTTTGTCTCCCAAGCCTTGCTTTTGCTATGGGTCTCTTTCTCTCTTATATCTGCATGCCTTTTTTCCTATTGAAAATAACGTGCTACTAGAAAGGATAATTGACAGAGATTCAGCTGTGTTTCATGATTCAGCATTAATGAAGGCACTCTGGTTATATCCTTCCTGCCTTCTCAATTCATGCTCAAAAGAAGCATGGTGGGATGGCTATCACAGCAGTATTGAAATTTCCCTTGTTTTCTCGTGTTAAAAATAACAGTAAAAGGCTGTGCAATGCCACAGTTGCCACTGCTTCCCGTTCCAAATAGTTGAGACAGAAAAGCAAGACAGCACTATTATGCAGAAATAGGCAGGCACCTGGATGGAAGTGAGACTGCCACTCAGATTAGAAAATACTGTTTGTTAATTCATTTCAAAATAGTCAATACCTGGAAGTATGCTACTGTGAGTAAGGAAGTGACTGCCATTCTTGTTCTGCGTGGGAGAGGAATCTTCCTTGAAAGCAAGTACAGACCCATGATGGCTGTGACAGAAGAGATTCCCTAAAGGTAGAAGAGGTAATTTATTTTTATTTAATTAGACTTATATACTGCCCATCTAGAACATGTAAAAAACATGTCAAGCAAGGCATGAACAAGGGGCTTAGATAAACCTGTTCTTCAAAGCAAGCAGACCCACAGAGAGTACAACTAGCATACATATAACTTTCTAGTTAACCAAGTACCCTACTCCTAAATCCATCTTTAACATCACACTGGATGATAACATCACACTTTCTATTCACAATCCTCATTTCTTCTCTGTATTTTGTTAACTGGCTGAAGCACTGTCTGCAGCTCTTTGCCAGCTCAGACTGGCAGCTTCCACTCAACTCTCCATTCATGTTCCTATTTCACATCTACTCTCTATGAACATGTAGTTCTCAAACGGTCAGATAAGAAATGCATTATTCCAAGAACAAAGCAAGTAACAAAATTTAACCCCCATACTTACTGCTTTAAGCAAATGTAGCTTTTCTTGACTTTGCTATTCGAGACCCTTTAAATTCAGAGATAAGGAATGTGCGGCCTTCCACATTCTGTTGGATTGCAGCCCTTACTGTTAACTGTGCTGCCTAGGGCTGATGGGAGCTGGAATTCAAAACATCTAGAGGGCCACACACTCCCTAGCCCTGCTTTAACTGGATATAGCAAGGGCTAAAAACAGGACCTTAAGCAGCCAAAGTCCATGCTCCATCTTATGACCCCTCCTGTAATCCAAAGATTCTCCTGTCACAGAACAAAATAAAGACGAGCATAACAGTTAAGAGATACAGGATTTGCTATCACAGAGAGAGAAGGACACATACCAGAATTCTGTGATCAAACTGGACAGTTGTAGGATTCTCAAATAAATTCTTCAGCTTTGGTGAAAAGGCAAGAAGATCATCAGGAATCCACCGCTCTCCCATCTTGGGAAAGGAATTATACACAAGACCAGCATCTAATCCTGCCACAAATGCTCCTATAGTTCCAAACAAGAGAAACTGAAGTTATAAGTGTAATAATACCTAGATACCTATCAACCTAACAGTTTAGGTTCTTTCCTCTGAAAGCCAAACAGCAGTTCCCACTTTGGTGTAATGGCCTGCAGAGGAAGACATTTAAGTATCTTCAGGACAGAAAAAGCTAAAACCTCCCATAAGACCTAAAGCAAACTCCCACAGGCTGTGTAGTTAACCACTTTGTCTTAAAACATGACGAAACAAAAACGAACAAGAATAGAAAGACTGAAGGAGAGAGTCTTCATCACAACAGTAAAGGAGACTTTTACCTGAGAGAGCAGTGAGAAAGACAAGGCCTGTTGTTCCAAATGCAAACCTTCTCAGGTGTAAGAGCTGTCGGGTTTCAGGTAACTGTCACAATAAAAGAAGAGGAAAAATCTCAGGCCTATACAACAGAATCTTTATATATTCTATAGAAAGCACAAAAAAGCAATTAAGGTGCAGCCATGGCTATTTTGGGGAGAGTAACCCCCAAGGAGCTCAGCAGGGCCTACTTCTAAGCTGATGTTTACAGGACTGCAATGTGCTCTACTGATTTAACAGGTTCCTACTCCCAGATGAACATCTTCACTTCACTGTTAATAAATAGGCAGCATTCATTGCTGGAAGTTCCCCTTTCCACTCTTCTTCCACAACCGCTATACAGCAAGAGATATGGCTTAGATTAAGCATCCTTCAGTCTCGAGAGACTATGGTAACTCTGTATGGAGGATGGTTGTTGTGGGTTTTTTGGGCTCTTTGGCCGTGTTCTGAAGGTTGTTCTTCCTGATGTTTCGCCAGTCTCTGTGGCCGGCATCTTCAGAGGACTGGAGTAGGAACTCTGTCCATGCTCTGTTGCTGTTTGTTGGATAGTTGAGTATTTATAGCTGTGGGAACAGCCTTTGTCTTTTTTCAGGAGATAGGGTGATCAGCGTGTTTTTGTTATGATAAGAGGGGAGACATTATCTGTTACTGTGATTGATGGGTGTCGTTAGCTGGTCTTTTTGGTGCTTATTCTAGGACAATTCTATTTGGAACTTTATCCTGCCAGGAAAAACCAAAAATGTGTCAGAGACAACGCATACGGAACCTGTTCAGCTTCCTCTCCTGCCTTGCACAAAGGGTCCAGGTCTCACTGCAGTACAGGAGTGTGCTCAGGACACAGGCTCTATAGACCTGGATCTTCGTATATGGCATCAACTTCTTATTAAGTCATACTCTCTTTGTGAGTCTAGAGAACATGGTAGCTGCTCTGCCAATGTGTTTATCCAGCTCGATATCTAGGGAGAGGGTGTCAGAGATTGTTGAGACAAGGTACACAAAGTCATGAACAACCTCCAATTCTTGCAGGTAAATGGTAATAGAGAGAGGTGACTCCACGCCTTGGCCCATGACTTGTCTTTTCTTCAGGCTTCAGGCCTTGCTAAAATGATTAATGGAGCTCTTCAGCAGAGTGGACAACAACAGCTGCATCATCGGCACAGAGGAAATCCCGCATGCATTTCAGCTTGACTTTGGTCTTTGCTCTCAATCTAGAGATTAAAGAGCTCTCCATCTAATCTAGTCCAGAGACACCTTCTGTTGCAGTTCCAAAGGCGTGCTTCAACATGAAAGCAAAAAAGATCCCGAAGGAGGTTGGCGTGAGGACACAGCCCTGTTTCACTCTGCTTCAGATGTCAAAGGGATCTGATGTTGAGCCATCAAAAACTACAGTGCCCTTTATTTCCTCATGAAAGGACCTGATGATGTTAAGGAGCCGAGGTGGACATCCAATCTTGGGAAGGATTTTAAAAAGGCCTTACCTACTAACCAAATCAAAGGCCTTTGTGAGATCTATGAAGGCCACAAAGAATAGCTGTTGATCCCTCCATTTCTCCTGCAACTGTCGGAGGGAGAATACCATGTCAGTGGTGGATCTATTAGCTTGAAATCCACACTAGTGATTCTGGATAGACTCTGTCTCTTCACCACAACACAGGCAAGCAGCTTCCCTACAATGTTAAGAAGAGAGATGCCACGGTAGTTATTGCAGTTGCCCCTATCTCCTTTGTTCTTATACGATGTGAAGATGTTTGCATCATTCATGTCGTGTGGTACTCCACCTTCCCCCCAGCAAAGACAAAAGATAGGCAGAATTCACTGCTAGAAGTTCCCCTTTCCACTCTTCTTCCACAACCGCTAAAAAGCAAGAGACATGGCTTATGTCTAAATATATCTGAATCCAATCCAGCCAATTTTTATTAGATAGTCTTAGACGTCAGCCCTAAAATGTCTGCATCATTCAAGTTTCCCCCGTTTGCATACCTTGTGCTGTGGCAGCAACAATGATAGTCCAGTCCACAGGCTGTAGCAGTAAAGGACAAGTGCAGATCCCAGATGTGCTGCTAGACGGTACTGACTGACCCGAGGAATGTCATGGGAGTCTGGTTTTTCCTCTAGTCCACTTTTTACCATGTACCAGCCCAAGAGGCCCTGTCAAAAACAACAACAGAGGAATTATGGAGGCACTAAAAAAAAGGCCCACTCATCTTGGATCAATATCATGCATACTACTGAAGTGTGGCAATGCCAAAACACAGATCTAGCTCATTTTTTAGAAAAAGTCCTATACTACACAGAAACATGAGAAAATTGTGAAGGCAGAGGTGTCATAGCAGTCACTGCTTGTTCCACCATCTGAAGCATCTGCAGGGCTACTTGACATAACAGTCTGGTTTCATGTATAAGTCAGCACCTCAGTTCTCAGAGTAAAACCAATTTTCATGCTTCCCCTCAGTTACCTCGGGTACCCCCACTTTTAATGATTTCAGCATCTCAGTGGATTTTCCCACCTGAAAGCAGACAAGCCCACAAAGGGTAAAGACGTGACCCTTCAACGGTCGGTTCAGGTAGCCTTTCCTCCAAAAGTAGGCTGCTGGAAGGATGTAGGCTAATCCCACAAGCCGTCCCCACATGCGGTGTGAATACTCCATGTACCAGATGAATTTGAACTCTGTCAGTGTCATGTCATGGTTCAGGCTGTAGCATTGGGGAGAAAAGGTTTGAAAATACTGTAAATACATGAACAACTGCAAACAGGCACCAAGATATTGTAAGCAATTTCCTTTCTTCCCACTCAGTTTCCTTCAAGATGTAATATCCAAACTGTTTTAAGTCACCACTTTTCACCTGTGCTGGGAAATCACCTTGTGGTGCTAGTAAAACAGATCTCTACACTGAAGAAAGATTTGTTTTGAAGAATCTTAGTCCAGCCCACACTTACATCTTAAATTCTGGGAACTGCTGGTATTTTTGGAATTCTGCTTCCCACTCCTGCTGGGTCCGAGGAGGCTTCATTTCCCGCACCAGGTGCCAGTCAACCATTGAAAGTCCAGATTCTGTCAGCCTGAACAGAGACAGCACAACAAGGATTTGATACTAGGGTAAGCAGGTATCAAGCTAGAATGCAGTTGTATTTATGTAACTTTTATCTAGAAAAGCATCATGATGTCATAAATCATTTTATCTACCTAACACTTATACAATCTAATAGCATCTAACAGCTGGGCACACTGGTAACTAAGCAAGCCTTGGAGAACAGTTATGGTTTTAGAGTGTCTCCAACCCAAATTAGCAGTGTTGTTTTCAGTACAATTACAGTGGGGTCTCGACTTACGAACTTAATCCATATTGGAATGTGGTTCGTAGGTCGAAAAGTTCGTAGGTCGAATCTGCATTTCCCATAGGAATGCATTGAAAACCATTTAATCTGTATCTGTTCTTTTCCGTCCATAGAAACTAATGGGAAGCTGCTATTCCGCCTTCTGCCACTAGAGGGGGATATTTTTTCTTTTTTCCCCTTAGGTTCAGGAAAGGAGGGGGGAGGCAGGGAACAGTTTGCAAAGCACTTTAGAAATCTTTTTTTTTCAACGAAGCCAATTTTAAATCATGTTTTAAAGCATGTTGTGCTGATTTGTTCAACTCAAAGACACACAGGCAGGCTTTTTAGGTGCTAAGCAAGCCTCCCCAAGCCTCTTCAGAGCCAGCCAATCAGCTGATAGGCAGGGAGAGGAGGGTGCAGGAGGGGGGGAAGCATAAAATGGTTGCCAGGCTCCTTTCTGGTGTGGGCTTTTAGCTGTTTCTTGCTCTTTTTCCTGCTGTTTGGTGGCTACCAAGGCCTGGTAAGTGACTTTCTTTTATTTATTTTTAGGTTTATGACCCTTTTTTCTCCTCCAGAAGCCTCTAAGGGGAGGGAGGGGGCACTTTTTTCCTGTTCATAACTCGAGGGAAGTTCATATGTCGCGTCCTTATTTCCCCTATAGGGCGGGTTCGTAAGTTGAATTGTTCGCAAGTAAGGTCGTTCGTAAATCGAGACCCCACTGTACTAGAGGGTATGCCCTTTTGAGTTTGTTGGAACTGACTGCTGAGTTAACATGCATATGGCTGTTAAGCTGAAATCTTAGGCATCCTTATCTATGAGTAAGTTTATATAGTTAGTGACTACACAGCAGGAAAAATGTGAATGGATCCACTATGAAGTTGCACTTGGGAAGTCGAGTTTCCTCAGTTCACTACAGTCCACCATAAAGCAGTCAGCAGAGAGGGGAGGAAATTAAAGGAAATTCCCTGTAATGCCCAGCCCAACTTCATAACATGGAATTCTTGTCCTTGTAGGTCACCTATAAAATTAAGATAGCACCATTAGCATGGGCATCCAAAGGGAAGAGGAGTCACAAAGATCAGAAATGGGCAAAGTATGGCTCGCAGCTCACATACAGTACAACTCTCCCAGGAGATCCAAGCTGCCTTAGGTATACCTCAAAATACAAATCACACATTTGGCTCAATACCGATCACACATTGTTTTAGACCCCAAAAAAGGTGTTTTTTTAAACTAAGTGATCAAGCAGTCATTTATTTTTTCTTAAAATAAGGGACAACACATTGTGTTTAGGAGGCAGGTTATACCTTTTAAAAACACAACTTGCATTTTTCAGACAAAAATGTATGAAGGGATTTTTCTTGGAAAGGCAGGAATATCAGATGGAGATGTATAGCCTCCAATGTTTAAGGGAAGGGCAAAAATGGCCCCTAAATCTTTGAAATCACCCATCCTTGTTTTAGATTCATATCCAATACTGGCAGACAACCACCCTCAAGAAAAGAAAAATATTGTGGGTACAAAAAGATCCATATTCTGAGAATGATAAATCATTATCAGAGCTAAAGAAAACATAGTGAAAGGCCTAAAGTCAATATTTCCTTACCTAGTGATACCGCCCAGCACAACAGCTCCAGCTACAGTACCACTGCAAATTAGGAGCCAGCGCCCCACAGCCCGATTTGTCACAGCACTGGGGACAGGTGGTACTGCCACTCTGGAATGGGAAGTAACTTCTGACACTACATCATGATGTGCCCGTCTTTGTAGGAACTGCCATCGGTGGAGACACTGCTGAGAATGTAATGGGAACTGTTAGATAATGCCACCCAGTGTTATGCAAGTCCCTCATCCATAATACAGTCACAAATCAAAGTGTTGCTCATACATGTTGGTGAAACCTAGTTATGAGAAAAGCTTACTTGACCATAGATGTCATTTCTATCTTTTTATATCAGGAAAGCTGTCTTCTGTACAAAGACATCTTTGTGATAAATAAGACCACATCTATAGTGGTCTCAACACAGAAAAAGAAATAACTGCTATTTTAGTAGCTGTTGACAGTGTAGTCCAAATGTTTTTAGAGCGCTAACCTCATATGCTACTTCTGGACTTTGCAGAATTATCTTTAGGAACAAGAGATTTAATTTGATGTTCCTTTGGTGCAATTCAACAGATTTTTCCTATATTCTTTAAATGCTGAAGACGTATGAAAAAAGAACTGTAGGGATCAAGCTATTCTATTAGTGTTCTTGCACTTAACTAATTACTACCTTCAACATATTCTGCTCTACCAAGTACTAACAGCAAACCTGATCTTAACATGCATATGGAACCACTATCTCAAATATACAATGCAGAGCAGCTTTTCCAAGAATAACTGAATCAAAATATCCACTTTTCTTCACAACCATGGCAGCCTTAGCAGCAGATCTCATTCTAAAGGCTGGCTCAGACTGAAATATATTTGCTTATACTTTGGGGACACAGCAGCAATATCAATCCCAGCTGTCTTCCCCTGGCCCAGTCACACTGGAGTGTGTCATAAGGACCCTCGTTGCCCTAAGAACCTAACTCCGTAACTGTCTATATGTTTAATTATTCTTTAACAGCTACAGTGACATCCCCACCGTCTCTTCAAGAAGCAGAAGGCGGAAATCCCCCGTTTTTTCTAACCCAGATCCCATAAGCCCAACAACAGAGCTCCAGTACCTGCCCCCGAGGACCACCTCCTCCACGGAGGGGCAGGAGGAACCGAATCCCTCCCAAGGCCACGCGCAGAAGCATCGTTCCCCCAAACACAGCTAGGAAGCAAATCCCTTCCCTGACACGGAAATGAACCCAAGCCGCTCTTCCGGACGCACGAGGCTCCTGCGTCGGGTGGCCGTGAGCCCACGTGACGGGTCAGAAGACACCTCCTGGCTTGGCTCGCGCTCGCTGGCACGCGCGCGCGCGCGCCGTCAAGACAGGTGAGATGGGGAGGGGCGGGACGAGGACGGGATTCCTGCCGGCTGCCGGGAGCCTCTAGGCCGGAACTGTCAACACAAAGGCCGCGTCTGGAGCTCCCTCCCCGATCAAGGCTAGAGGCGGCAGGGACAGGAGGAGATGGGACCGGAAGAGGGGGCTCAGCGGGAGGGAGGGTGTGAGAGTGATTGGGCAGCCACGGAACCAGGCACGGAGTCCGGAAGGGAACATGGGCGATCCAGGGGGCGGGTTCAGGCACCGGAAATCCGGTTGGATGGAAGCCGTGGGATACCGTCTTGTTCTCTTCCCCACAATTTGAGCCCCCCTCCCCCGGTGTTGGAGGAAGTCAAAGATGGGTCGATTCGTCCCGTGGGCGCGCCTTCCCCTGTCGCCTCCCTCCGGAAAGGGAAGCAGCCACGCTTGGCGCACGCGCGGGGGGCGATCCAGGGGGCGGGTGCAGGCAACGGAAATCCGGTTGGATGGAAGCCGCGGGATACCGTCTTGTTCTCTTCCCCAGAATTTGAGCCCCCCTCCCCCGGTGTTGGAGGAAGTCAAAGATGGGTAGTTTCGTCCTGTGGGCGCGCCTTCCCCTGTCGCCTCCTTCCGGAAAGGGAACCAGCCACGCTTGGCGCACGCGCGGGGTCGCTGGTGTCCGTTAGTAGGAAACAAAGGCGCAGGTTTTCTGAAGGGGGGTGACTCCGTTCTGTAGGAGGGGGATCAAGTCTTTTCGACAGAGCCGTCCTGTGTAACCTCCAATAAATGTATTAGCCCTGAAAGCACCGCCAGATTCTTTTTTTTGCTGTACTCTGTTAAAGTTACCATGGTCGTTCCTTTGGAAATTACTCAGAAGGAATTGCCACTAAGTTCAGGGGCTTGTTTCTGAATTTTTGTTCTTTAGTTGTTAAGTCGTGTCCGACTCTTTGTGACCCCTTGGACCAGAGCACGCCAGGCCCTCCTGTCTTCCACTGCCTCCCGGAGTTGGGTCAAATTCATGTTGGTTGCTTCGCAGACACTGTCCCACCATCTTGTCCTCTGTTGTCCACTTCCCCTCGTGTTCAAGGTCTCACGCTTTTCTGAGATAAGCATGGAATGTTGGGACAAAGGCCCAATTTAGGGAAAGTGAATTGTTCTGCGCATGTCTAAAATGTGTTTTCACTAATCCAATGAATTGTTGCTAACTAACTTAATGACCTCAAAGGCCCACCCCTCTCGCCCTGAGGGGACAGCTATAAGACTGTACCAATTCCTTTGTTCTTTGAAGAAATCCTAATCAGCCACAATTAAGGTGAAATTGGTTTTTCTTCCCACCAACTGCAGTGGTGTTTTGTTGTTTTGTTTCTCATGTAAATAAAATAAACTTCAATAGAAAAGCCTTCGTGTCTCAGTCTTTTGTTTAAGGTAAATTGTTTGGCATAACACCCATGATCTTGATTTTTTTGATGTTGAGCTTCAGATCATTTCTGACGCTCTCGTCTTTCACCCTCATTAAGAGGTTTTTAAATTCCTCCTCACTTTCTGCCTCCAGAGTGGTATCATCTGCATATCGGAGGCTGTTGATATTTCTTCCTGCAATCTTAATTCTGGCTTGGGATTCATCCAGTCCTGCCTTTTACATGATTTATTCTGCATATACGTTAAATAAGTAGGGAGACAATATATAGCCTTGTCGTACTCCTTTCCCAATTTTGAACCAATCAGTTGTTCCATATCCAGTTCTTACTGTTGCTTGCACATATAGATTTCTCAGGAGATAGATAAGGTGGTCAGGCACTCCCATTTCTTTAAGGACTTGCCACAGTTTGTTGTGGTTGACACAGTCAAAGGCTTTTGCATAGTCAGTGAATCAGAAGTAGATGTTTTTCTGGAACTCACTGGCTTTCTCCATAATCTAGCGCATGTTAGCAATTTGATCTCTAGTTCCTCTGCCCTTTCGAAATCCAGCTTGTACTTCTTGGAGTTCTTGGTCCACGTACTACTGAAGCCTAATTGTAGGATTTTGAGCATAACCATGCTAGCATGTGAAATGGGTGCAGTTGTATGGTAGTTGGAGCATTCTTTGGCACTGCCCTTCTTTGGGATTGGGATGCAGACTAATCTTTTCCAATCCTCTGGCCACTGCTGAGTTTTCCAAACTTGCTGGCATATTGAGTGTAGCACCTTAACAGCGTCGTCTTTAAAGATCTTAAATAGTTCGACTGGAATGGCATCACCTCCACTGTCCATGTTGTTAGCCATGCTTTCTAAGGCCCACTTGACTTCACTCTCCAGGATGTCTGGGTCAGGGTCAGCAACCACACTATCTGGGTTGTCCGGGACATCCAGATCTTTGTGGGGTAATTCCTCTGTGTATTCTTGCCACCTCTTCTTGATGTCTTCTGCTTGGTCCCTACCATTTTTGTCCTTTATCATGTCCATCTTTGCACAAAAGGTTCCTTTAATGTCTCCAATTTTCTTGAACAGATCTCCGGTTTTTCCTTTTCTATTATTTCCCTCTATTTCTTTGCACTGTTCATTTAAGAAATCCTTCTTGTCTTTCCTTGCTATTCTTTAGAAGTCTGCATTCAATTTTCTGTAACTCCCTATTTTCCCTGCATTTTGTTTCCCTTCTCTGCTATTTGTAAGGCCTCATTGGACAGCCATTTTGCTTTTTTACATTTCCTTTTCTTTGGAATGGTTTTTGTTGCTGCCTTCTGTACAATGTTACGAGCCTCCATCCATAGTTCTTCAGGCACTCTGTCCACCAAATCTAGTTCCTTAAATCTGTTCTTCACTTCCACTGTGTATTCATAAGGGATTTGGTTTAGATTATACAGTATCTGGATAGCCGAGTGGTTTTGCCTACTTTCTTCAGTTTAAGCTTGAGTTTTGCTCTAAGAAGCTGATGATCAGAGCGACAATCAGTTCCAGGTCTTGTTTCTGCTGACTGTATAGAGCTTCTCCATCTTTGGCTGCAGAGAACATAATCAATTTGATTTCGGTATTGCCCATCTGGTGATGTCCATGTGTAGAGTCACCTCTTGTGTTGTTGGAAAAGAGTGTTTGTGATGACCAGCTTGTCCTCTTGACAAAAACCCATTCATGGATTGCTGCCTTGTCGTGGCAAAAGGGCTTGAGTAATTCAGAGAAGCTATGGGCTATGCCGTGCAGAAACACCCACGACGGGCAGGTCATAGTGGAGAGTTATGACTAAACGCAATCCACCTGGAGCAGGAACTGGCAAGCCACTCCAGTGTCTTTGACAAGAGAACCCCATGAACAGAAATAAAAGGCGTCTGAATAGACTTATACAAAATGACATTGTCAGCTATTCCCAGCCTTTAAACAATCCCATGCCTAGAAAAAAAAGCTTATTGAATAGCAGTTTAAGCTGAGACTTTCTCCTTGGCAAGTTCTGTACCTTTAGGAGCTGTCGGCAGAGCTGATTGAAGCTTTTCCTATGATGAGTTTTGTATTTTCAGAAATTGCTTTATACTCTATCGGGAAATACAAAAATGGACCTTCTCCCTTTTTCTGATCAAAGCACATCACATGGAACACTTTATGTTGAGATTTATTTATTTATTTATTTATTACAGCTGCATTTACAAAACGTGTCACTGGTTAGCAGAGGCTGGCAGCTAAATCCTTCCTTTCCACCTTTCTGGCTCTGATGACTGTGGCCTTTCCTTTCCCAACTCTACTTTCCATTAAGAACCTTGTTGATAAAGAGCAGGAACAAGTTCATCATTTGATTCTGTCGAATGAAAAAGCTGATCTTCAGTTCATCTCTTTTAAAAGATTAATGATAAAGACCCTGGAAGAGGGTCTTTATCCCTGGAAAAGACCCTGGTGTTGGGAAAGTGTGAAGGCAAGAGGAGAAGGGGATGACAGAGGACGAGATGGCTGGACAGTGTCACCGAAGCTACCAGCATGAATTTGACACAACTACGGGAGGCAGTGGAAAACAGGAGGGCCTGGCGTGCTCTGGTCCATGGGGTCACAAAGAGTCGGACACGACTAAACGACTAAACAACAGTGATAAAGATGCACTCAGATCCAGCCAGCATGGCCTTTGCTAAATGCTTTTCCTAACATCCTGTACGTTGATATATTTAAAATATTTTATCATATTTGGACACTAAAGCATCCCACATTTGTGTTAACAACCAAAGTTGGCACACTGGTGGAGGATGTTTACTCAGGAGCAAAATACTGCTTCTAAACTCATGACCTACTTGTATTGTTTAGGGTACTAAGCACCTTTGGGCTGGCGTTTTAATGATTTATATAGAAAACTATACAAAGCTTGTTTGTATAGTGTGACAACTGCAAGCTACTATGTATATAGAAGATGGAATTTCCTATGGATCTTGAGGAAGGACACTTGCTCGCAACATTTCATTAAAATTCCTGTTGATATTAGTTTGTAGTGTATTATGGTGATCCATTTCTTTTCAGAATCTTGCCATCCTTGCTCTCCATTTTCAGGAAGGAGCAATTTGATGGCTACAAGTAGGATCTTTTTAGCTGTAACATTTCAGCTTTGTAATGCTCTTTCCAGGTAGATTTGGCTGTGTGAAATCTGAAGTAATTATGGTGCAGGCCCTTTTATTTTTGCTTATCCAGATTTTTAAAAGATATTTTATAGTGTTAGAATCTTTAGTCTGCTGTTCCGTAGCTCTGTCAATATAACTACAGATTCAGCTTTTATTTATTAGTGCTTTTAAAATCTATTGTTATGAAAATGTTACGTTAATAAAATAGAGCTAAAATGAATATACACTATAAACATAAAAGTATAATGATGGGGAAAATCTGTCTATAACATGCTATGAAAGACTTTCAGATGTTTTCAAAACAATCTATACAAGGTTGGTTTTGTATACCACATATTCAAATATTGAAAAAGTCGTAAGATCCCCAATTCCCTGGCTTACAGGAAATGCACATTTATCCTTCCACTATTGAAATACTCCTTTCAGTCACAGTAAGGCGATAGAGAGTCCATTACTGCTGAGCTGTGGTTAACTTGCAGGAAAATAGGGCAAATAGTTTTAAAGCACTCTCTGAGCAGTTTGTAATTTAGGGTTATGTGTAAATTGGCAAAAATCTGAAATAATGTTGTTTAAGAAAAGTTTGCTGATAAATATGATTTTGAGATATGTAAATCTGTTAAATATTTAGGTATCGATTGAGTAAAGGATACTCAGAAAATAAAAGAGCATAATTATAATAACTTAAAAAGGGGTTTTAAAAACGAACCTACAGAAATATTCTAGTTTGAAACTTTCTTGGTTTGGAAGGATTGCGTTGATGAAAATGAAGATTTTATCAAAGATTAATTTTTTATTTAGGATGTTACCAGTACAATTAACAATATGATTTTAAATTTTGGCAAGAACTGATTAATAGATATTGTAATGTAGGGAAGAAAGCCAGAATAAATAAAAGGTATTGGTATAAGAAAATAAAAAAGGAGGTATAGACATACCAAATATTAAAAATTACTACAGTATATGGCTAATCAATTGAGGTTTATTGGGGAAATTATATATAACCCAGAAAGGTTTTTGGTGGAAAATGGAATAATCAGAAATACTTGTACAGGTTGACATTGAAAAATATCTGTTCAGAATAATTTAAAAAATATGAACTAAATTAAATCAATTACCTCTTTTATTTAACTATGTTAAATGTGTGGTATAAGTATATAAAAAATCTATGTTCATCTAACTTGCCATTAAGATTAATGACTGAAATAGAGAATTTTCCCGCCAATATGAAAGTCTATTTAGAATTACCGTATTTAAAGAAAAAAAGTGAGTAGATTAAAAGATTGGTTGGATAAAAAGAGATCGAAAGATCAAATTAAACAAACTGTTCAAAATAAGAATATATCATGGTTGAATTATATGCAATTAGAAAGATGGACTAATGAATGGATAAAGAAGTATAACAAAGTTAAAGAATATACAAAGTATGAACAATTTCTATTGTCATATGAAGATATCCAGATGAATGAGTCAGTGAAGGGTGTAGTAAGTAAAATTTATAGACTCCTGCTAGATTTAGAAGAAGAAGAGATCGAGAATGATGGATTGAAGCTAGTGTGGGAATGAGATTTAGGAAAAAGAATAAATGGTGAAGAGTGGATGAAAATATGGAAAATTAGGGTTTTACGATTTATGTTGGTGAGAATAAAAGAAAAAATTAAACTAAGTTTAAAATGGTATTTGACACCGATAAAACTGAATAAAATTAACTCTTAGTTATCTGAATATCTGTTGGAAATGTGAGAAGGAAATTGGTACATACTTTCATATGTGGCGGGAATGTGAAAAAGTATAAAGATTTTGGAAATTAATCTTTCAGTAATTAACTGATATATGTGAAAGGGGTATAGAATTTCATCCTGAGATAGCTTTGTTATCAATATTTGTAAATGTGGAATATGATATGAGGACTAGAGAGTTGATTACCAGTTTATTAACAGCAGCCAGATTAATAATAGCCAGGAATTGGAAATAAAAAATTGAATTTTAAATAGAAGAATGGTATGATGAAATATTGAATATTGCTATAAATGATAAATTAACTTGTAATGTAAAGGTCAAGAAATGATAGATAAAAATATTTTTTATGATATATGGGGCAGATTTTTGGAATATGAGCTAACAAAAAGGAAAGGGAAAGTTCCAAATCAGGAATCAATGCAGTTCTGGAGAAGAGAAGGAAAAAGAAGAAGGAAGGCTGTGGAAGAAGAAGACTACTGCAAGAGGTCCCGACTAGGGTGGCGGGGAACACCATTGATTTGTATTTTGGTTTATGTATTTTATGTTGTAGTTTATAATAAAAAATAAAAGGGGGTCATGATTTGAAAAAGGTTAGAGAAAAAGAAGTAATCATTGGATTTCAGCACTCCTTTTTTGCACATTTTTTGTTAATTTTTTTTCTATAGACTCACAGCAGGGCAGAGTTTGATTGCCTCTAATTGTGTTTTTTTCCCCCCTAGGAATGGCCAATGGCTTTCTTATGGAAGTATGTGTTGATTCAGTGGAGTCTGCTGTAAATGCAGAGAGAGGAGGTAACTCAATAAAAAAAGGTTACAACTTCGCTGGGGCATGAGATATATCCCTGGGGCACACAACCCATATGTACTGCAAAAAGTGGCACAATCATTGCCCCAAGCTTAATGAAACCTCTCTGGGAACACTTTTGATTTGAAAAATAGAAAGGGAAATGTTTCAAATATGTAAATAAAAATCTCCAGACTGATCTAGATTAGTAGCACACAGATTCAGAACACAAAACGTTTAACATCTGCAATCTCATTATTTGCTATGCGCCCTCTAGCTGTGTAAGCTGCTGACATAAGTGAATAAATGACATCCACAGGTTGTTGCATAATTTTAGCAGTTTTGTTTCAGAGCAGCAAATTAATCCAACAGAAATGCCACACAGATTGCAGACTGATTTCTTGAAATTATTATTTTTCTGAGAACATTCTCCTTGATTTTGTTCAAAGTATGGATTAAAGTATTAGTGGACAGCGAAATACATGGGACAGAACTCCTTCTTCTTAAACAATGGCATGAGTTGAGAGTATTCCATATTGTGATCTATTTATTAGAGCAAGGACATATTTAGATCACTGTTAAATTACTGCTGTCCTCTTAGATTCAGAGACTTACTATGCAATCCTGTTGCAGGTGCTGGACGCCTTGAATTGTGTGCCAATTTGATGGAAGGAGGAACAACACCCAGTATAGGTGAGTTGCCATGTATAGGCTAAGATCCAACCCAGTGGCTTTCCGCAGCATTTATTAGCTGTTCTGATCAACTAGGAGAAACAAATCAGTTTTGTAAAATTTAGTTAACAAGACTGTTAACTGAACTGGGAGAAGGTTCCTTGTGTTCTGTCCACCTGAAGTTGAGGCCCCTTCTGGGCATTTTGCAAGCTAGACTCTCACTTTAACATTCTGATTCAGCTTTTCTTCAGCAACTCCTTCTAATTTTTTAAGAGGAGACTTAGAATAGTGGGGGGGGGGCATTTCCAGTTCACAAGCCCAGTTCCAGTTTGGGGAGGGTCTTGAAAGCTACATTGCAATAGCTAAGGTCAAGGCTAAGAACACAGGGCTTAAAATGCAACAGACTGAATATAAATCTTGCCCATCCATTCCTGTGGAAGCCTGAGCTTTTATGCCACATAAAACCTCCCTAGTCTGCAACCCTAAGTTTCTTTCTATTCTGTAAACGGGACCTCCTATTCTGTTCAATAAACAGGGTTGCAGACTTAAATCGCCCTTTATCTATGATCACTGATAGGGCACGAAATCTACACTAGTTGACTAAGAAAGGCTTTCTTTGCCCATCCTTGCTTAGATTCTTAAATTTTAGAGTCTCCTTTCTGTCTCCTTTGTTGCAGCAAAACCTGGTGCTGAGGAGCTAGCTCTGTCTGGCATGTTTCTTTTCTCTGTACCAAGTTACTTCCTGTCCTTGTAAATCCAGTTGTCTTTTAACTAATACTATTCCCTAAACTTTTTTTTCACTTCCAGGGCTTCTGCAAGTGGTGAAGCAGTGTACACGTGTGCCTGTTTTTGTGATGATCCGCCCTCGTGGGGGAGATTTCCTCTATTCAGACCGGGAAATAGAGGTGATGAAGGCTGACATCCGACTCGCCAAGCAACACGGGGCAGATGGGCTGGTGTTTGGAGCCTTGACAGAGGATGGGCGTGTGGACACAGAGCTTTGCACAACACTGTCGGGTGAGTAGGTCTTACTTTCCATAGGGCTTATTCAATACTTCACTGTGAGCATCATTACAAGATGGCACAAGCCTCTAATTCTAAGGTTCTGATGGCTATGAATAGTCAAGGGAATAGAGTTATCTCCTATAGGGAAAAAGCAAGACTAACTGAAGATTACACGTCATGTTCAAAGGCAGTTTTATATACAGTGCAGTGAAATAATCAAACCAGAAGTTCTACAGGGAAGAGGCTGTTAGAAAAAGAACTTCAGTTAGGGGAGGAAAGCGGGTTTTTCCCCTCTCTTGTGGAGTATTTAACCACGATGTAAACAGAGAAGTGTAATTCCATGCTCCACTCCAAGATTACTTTTCGTTGAGGACATTAAGCCCAATATATAAGAAAATTGATGTATAAAATGTGGCAGTTTTTTTCTATGAAATGCTAGCTGCATAGTGAGTAGGCTTGGTGGAAATTGTTCATTTTAGAGCCAACACTGCACAGAGTTTGATGTTATCTGGGGAGGTTATCTTTCACTCCAGAAACAGTACCAGAAGTGTAACCTGTTCTGGGGAAATAAATGTTCTTTCCTCAACAAGGATATGCTGATCTTCTTGATTTTGTTCTTTGTTACAGCTGCTTCTCGCCCACTGCCAGTCACTTTCCATAGAGGTGAGTTCTGAGGGCTTGGAGAGATAAATAGAATTTGATCTGCATACTTGCAGAGTGTAGACATCAGCTGTATGGTCTTGCCTGTTCAGGACTATGAGGCTACAGCTTGGGGACTGCACATTTTAGTGCTCCCTACTGAGCATTTGTAATCCTGTATGGAGTAGACCAGCTGGCTGCATAGCTCAGGGAGCTAGGGAGCTGGCTATGTAGTCAGAGATAGGAGTTCTACTGCCCATTGCATCTCCTGGGAGTAGAGTCTTGAGCAAGCTGCACAGTCCCAGAGGAAGGGAATGGTAAACCACTTTTGAGTGCCTAGAAAACCCTAGCAAGGGTCATGAGTCAAAATTGTCTTGTTGGCATGCACTTGTTATTATGGAGTAGGCCATAGACAAGGCACTTCCAACACACAAGGGGGGCATATCTATCCCATCAACGTGTCCCCAAGACCCTGCTCCCAGTCCCCCACACAAGGAAAATCTTGGGATCAAATATAAGTGATTTTGATGGGATGGAATATCTGAGGTAAAAGGTTTTCCTGGTCTTCCACAGCACTCATTTAGGCTTTTAATAGACTCCAAAGACTAATTGCAGCATGAGTGGCATTTTAAGGAGAGTGCTGCTGGGAGAGAAGGGGACAGTCAAGCCAGTCTAACACTCCAGCTTTCCTTCAAAAATATCATCCCAATCAGTCTTTTTAAAAGCTCCCATTTGGTGGAAATAACACCTTAAACCTCACTGTAGTGTGTATGTGAGGGGAAGTATTTTCAGGGGGGTTCTGCTGCTCACGGTATGCAGTACCAGGAAGCTTTCTTGCAGACTGTTCAGTTCTTTTCCCTTAAAAAGGTTCCCTATCATAGGGCCTCAAAACACATTTTACATCCAAATCCTAAGATTTGTGTTCTAGAATATTTGTTAAGTACAGACTGACGTGCTCCCTTTTCCTTGCAGCTTTTGACATGGTGTATGATCCTTTGGCTGCCTTGGAAACGCTGATATCAATGGGTTTTGAACGGGTATTGACTAGCGGGTGTGACAGCTCTGCCCTAGAGGGTCTGCCTTTGATAAAGCGGTTGACAGATCAGGTAAGGTGTCATTTCAACTATCTCTGGAACACTGTTGATATATTTGCTATGTCTTCTCAGCATTAGCTACCTAAAAAAATTATAGGTAGCTGCCAATCACATATTGACTCTTCACTGGCAAAGATGCAATCTGAATTCTCAGGTTAATGTGTAGAATGTGTGCATGCAGTGTCTGATTTGAGCTCCTTTTGGTAACAGATTAATTCCTATGTGCCTTGTAAGAAATTACCCATCTCTCCTATATGTACAGCATGTATTCGGCTCACGTGTCCAGAAAAAAGCATAAGAACCAGAAAAAAGTTAAAATAGTTAGTTAACTAACTAATAAGTTAGTTAAAGGTTGTTTCAGGTCTCTTGCACACTATGGTGGAGTTTAAGCAGTGGACTGGGGATGACAGCATGTCGTAATATCTCTGTTCAAGTGAAATGCACTAAATAGACGTTTGGTCTACAGAGTGGGATTCAGAAGCATGTTAGAAATAAAGTTTCAAATTACAGGCTTCCTTGAACCCCAGGATTCATGTCTCCAAGTCATTCTTAAAATCACATTCTGTAAATAAATTAATCCAATGGTTCTATGATCAAATATATATTTGATGAACATACTGTATCAGTAGACAAGTGCAAGAAGGGTGTCTGTTGTCTTGGACATTAAGGTTGTTTGGCAAGAGTTGAACAATATTGTTTCCTGCACTTCAGTCATCCTGAGAGGGAGGTAAAAATTTAGTGTAGGTACTCAGTCCTTTGAGTAGTTTGTAGTAGTGAAATCTATAGAGTAATGATCTTAGTGGGGCACCCTCAACTTCACAAGAAGAAACGCATAAGAGGCTCAATATAGGTGTTACTGAATTGAAGCAAGCCACTGCGAAAGAAGCAAAAAAATGAAAAGCAAGATCTGTGAATAAATATATTCCTAAACAAGACAACAAGATGGTTGTCCTTTCACTGTATTATGTTTGATCCCACAGACAAGATTGCTAAATTCTTTTTCTCTTCCTTTTCAGGCAAAGGGTAGGATTGTCGTAATGCCAGGTAGGATTCTGCTGTGAGTACCATCAGTTGATATTGGTTTAGGCACCCTCACTTCCCAAAGTCATGGGACATTCTGGGATAATGTGCAAGGTTTAATTTCTTTACTTCAGTTTGGAGGAGTATGTACTGGAAACATGACATAGTATTTTTGTAGAATCTGATTTATTTATAAATATACGAAGAATGCTTAGTGGAAGTGAGTAGACATCTGTTAGCAGGAAGCACAATTGTCGAAATTACTTTACATGCCCAAAGCAACAATGTAGATCACCACAGTCCAAATTAAAATTCCAGGTTGCTTCTTGTTATCAGCACTGTCCCCAAACATTGGTATATATGTTATTGAAAGCAAAATAGAGGTTTCTAGTGGTCAGTGAATGTTCCTATCTGATTAAACTGTGTTTATCAGGCAGATTAGCCCCTGCATGTTGATCAAATAGCCAAGCTGGTATATAATATAACACTGGTTCAGAAACTGGGAGGCATGAAGAAATGTGTGCGTGAGAGAGAAAGACAGAGACAAAGACAGAGGGAGACTATAGGATTTTCATAATATATTTTTTAAAGTTTAAACCTTTTAAAAATTTATTTTAAAACTTCGTAGCATAAAATTGATGTAAAATAATTTTGTGCTAAGCTTTTGAGTCTGCTTTTAATGATAATTTATATATTCAACTTTTTGTTGAAAGAAGGATGAACTATGACTTGAATTTTGACAAAGTAGTAGTAAGGAGACTGTGTGACAAATAGGACATAATGCTAAAATGTCTGGCAGCCACTGTCATATCCAATCCTGTGAGCATGTGCTTCCTTCTAGAATGCACAATCTCTCTAAGAAGTCAACCTGATGTGCAGGTATAGCATTATATCACACTGACCCTTAAGTCTTTCTTTAAGATCAACCTCGCTTCTACGTATTGACTGTCACTAGAGATCTGATTCTGTTTCTTGAAGTAATTAATCCCCACTGCCTCACTCCATGTTTGTGACTGAGGAATGGGCTTTCTCCAACAGGGGGAGGCATCACTGAGAGAAATCTCCAGAGAATCCTGGAAGGCTCTGGTGCTTCTGAGTTTCACTGCTCTGCACGTTCAGCCAAGGACTCCGGCATGAAGTTCAGGTAACAGGCAAAATAGTTAGGTTGACTCCTGACTGAACTGTCTTCACTTCTTGATGCAGTGCTACCATTCTGGGTAGTGAGCTGGCTAAGAATATTGGGAATACTGGAATTTGACCAGCTGAAAAAAGTACTAGAAAAGAGATTCTGCCTACAGTATATCTCCTAGTTTCAGAATTCTGTTCATGAGCTAGCATCCAAATGATAATGTCTAACCTTCCAGATTGTCAATGTGGTAGCAGGTTATGTCCTGAGGAATACTTCACACTGGCCAGACTGGGAGGGCATAGAATTGGGGTGGTTCCTTCTCTGGTTGTTCAGATTCTAGACCAGAACTGGACAGAGTGCAGCTTGAGGGCCACATACAGCCCGCAAGCCGCTCCTCTCCAGCCCGCGGACAGTTTTGAACATCAAAACCATTTATGGCTTTTTGTCTAAAGTTGGTCAGTTGCTTATCTTTAATATACCACCAAAAACCTCTTTAGTATTTGTGAAGATTAACAAGTTTAAAATAAAAACAACCATAACATCACTGTTTCACTTTATTTTTAAGTAAAGTTGGTTCGGCCCCCAAACACAGTTCAGATTTTTCATGTGGCCACCCGATAGAAATTAATTGCCCACCCCTGTTCTAGACAGTAACCAATGCCTTCTTGGTCTTCTTTTTAGAAACTCCAGTGTTACCATGGGGACCTACCTTTCTACACCTGAATATTCCATCAAGGTGGCAGATGTGGCTAAAGTGAGGACCCTGAATGCAATTGCAAAGAACATCCTGTAGCACAAGATACTGCAGAGCAGGAAGACTCAGCACCCTGGGATGTGCCCAGTCTTTAGGCTTAGACATTTCAATAGCACTGAAAGGAAACGGGTCAACTAACTGAAGACACCTGTGCTTGTTTTTAATCTTATTCCTACTTCTTAGACTTGCTCCACAGAGTCCCTTCCTTTGATGTGATCATCCCATTTGTCTGTGGGGAGTGAACTATGGGGAGGGCTGGGGCTTAGCTGAAGGGGCACTTACCCTCTCTGTGATAATCACTTCTCAAATAAACCCCAAAGCTGCTCCACCTCACTGTGGCTCTTCTTCACACACAGGCAAGATGTTGAACTGAACAGAATTGTGTCAGGGTGGTGTCCAGCCTGGGGAGGGCCTCTGGTAAGTGTTTGTTTCAGGTAGGCAGCAAGGCGTAGGCTAGAGGTCATAAAGTTACTTTGGGGCTACTGTTTCCATAATTCACCAGTCAGTTTGGACAGTAGCCAATCAGGATGGGGATACTGGATATTAGTCCAAAAAAGTAACTTTCCCAGTCTCTAACTGGAAGTAAGTTCTTTGTCTCTTCAGAGCACAAGAGTCAAGTCTAGTATGCCTCCAGAAATTCTGCACTAGGTGGAGAGCTTTTCTTTCTCAGGAGTATGAACAGGTAAGGGCACAAGCGTAAATTAAAATTATAATACTAAAAAGATAAGCAATAACATCAGGCATCATAGAATGAAACCAAATAAAATCTATAGGAAAGAACAAGTGGTGCGAAAATCTAAAAGCACCAAAACAATTTTCCAAAATCCTTATGAAAAGAACATGTGCTTTACTTCGTGCTCTCTGGGGTTGGGGTTGGGGACAGACCGCAATAGACATCCACCCAGTGAAAAAGCCTTTCTCCCTTGTAGTCGCCCAACTTTGCCTTATTTGGCTGATGTGCCTGGTAGAGGTCCTCAGGTTAGGGCTTGGGTAGGTAGAGAATGGGTGCAGAATGTATCAGGCAACTTGGCCCCACGTTTAGAGCTCTAAAGGCTAGAAGTGTTATTTTGAATTGGGTCCAGAAACTGATGACCATTGTACTACTGAAATAATACAGCACAATTTATAACACATGGAAAAAAACAAAGATAATATCTTCTGGGAAGTTAATATTTTGCAAGAGTAATATGTTGAGCAGAGGAAGGTCAGAGAAGTTCAGGACACCTTTGGGTTTTTTTCCCCATCAGACTCACCTGTGGAGCTGAGAAGCCTTGAAACCAAATGTCAGATTATGTAGCAATCTCTTCCTTGCACTGCAAGAGATCAGAATATCTATGCTGGAACAAACAGAAGGGCTGCTTAGTCCAGCATTCTCATCATATGATGGCCAACTGGATGCTTATGAGAAGATCCCTGGTGTGGTTATGTGGTTTCTGCTGTTCAAGTGGAGCACTCGAATGCTTCATCTGAGAAGAGAACGTTGTAGTAGCTGGACATTGACACAAAATTATTGCAAGTTGGCTATGTTCATTGTTTAAATGCAAATCTGAATTGGGAACTAGACCAGTTTTTTTCCTATCCTCTGTTATCCTTTGTATCTTAAAAGCCCTATTAGAGTTGTTATAAGTCAGTTCTGACTCAACAGCACATAAGACACAGAGAGAGAGAGAGCACTGTGTGATTTGTGCTTGAATTTAATTGGTATGCTGACCTATAACAGCAGCCCATTGTTAGCAGGGGCCATATGGACCCCTGGAGGCACTAGTACATTTGAAGGCCGTTACAGGCTGGAAACAATTCTTCACACACCACCTTATAAGGTTTGTTAGGCAGCTTCTACAATCCTGATTCTGCCTGAATTTCATAATTTTATGACTGGCCAAAAAACGGTAGAGAACGGCTGGTGTAGGGTATTGTTTACGAGATATCAGGCTTTGATTAGCTATCTAATAATTAACTATGAGAGATTTAAATTGCTGTTTCTCTGGACATTGGACCCATTTGTCAAGAATGAATCAGAATTGGTTCTATCTAAACTGATTATGTAATGAGTGAGACAGCAGAATCTCTCCGCTCTGGATGGCTTGTTTCAGTATCCATTTGGGGATTAATATCATTGTTTGTAACTAGGGAGTGATGGCAGAGTTTGATCTTTCATCTTGGAAATCATATTCTTAATTCCTCTCCAAGACTGGATTTCTCAGTCTTGCAACGCCTGTTTTGAGATACACTCCTCCCCAGTGATGATCTGTAAGTCCCCAGTGCAGTATCACGTTTTGGTTCTGTTTTCACAACATTAACACAATCTAAGTTGTGTTACGCTTAAGTTTTTTTTTTGGCCATGCCATGGGAACACACTGAGGAGTCGCTGAGATAGATGGAGCTCTGCCTGTAACAGAATGGTGTCATTTCAGAGTCTAGTATTTTACTGAACTTCTGCTGAGCAAAAAGTAATGCAGCACTGAGCCTTTATGGAACCATTGTTACTTTGAAAGCAATGATCTCCATGAAGAAAAACTACCCACTAATCCAGAAGCAGCTCAGTTTATCCTAGAATCCACTGAGAAGGAGACTAGAAGTTTTAAAAATGCTCTGATTTCGAAAATAGATGGTGCCGAGCATCTTGAGCAGTGAAAAGATGTCTTCACAGGCAGTATTGTGCCATGGTATCATTGGGGAAAAGGGATTCTTTGTATGTCCAACTAGGGTCAGATTATCCTGAGAAGTTGCATTTAAGACATCATGTTGCTGTCCACAATAAATCATGCTATGTTCTCTCTTGCCAAGTTTTGGGGAACTCCCACTGCCTGCTGTGACCCCAGTATCCAAGGTTCATAATTTTGAACTATCAGGCTGAATGTGCACTAGGAGTTAACGATTAATGCCTTGTCATTGTGAGTCCAATCCCAGTGGCTCTTTGTTGAACATGTGGGACTTTTGCCCTCTTCATTTCCCCAAAAGCTAATCGAGCTCTTGGGCAAAGGTAGGAAGAAAGTGCCTCGCCATGGCGGCAGCTGCCTTGGATGAATTCTGCGGTTCTGTTTTCTGGGTAAGTGACAGCGTCTTTTCCCTTCAGATGTTGCTCAGTTTTTGGCAGAGATGACTCAGTGATGTTGCTGAATATTCTGTAGCTTGTCCCAAATAGTGGGAAGATAGGTGAAACATGTGCAAGTCATGCGCATTCAGCAAACATCAACCCTATGGTTTCAGTGCAATGAGTTTGGGGTTGTAGGCTTAAGAAATCTACTGTCTCTGTTTGCTGTGGTTCAGAGATACCCTGAGCTTTGGGAGAAGTCTCTACTGCACAGGAACTTATAACTGGTCCCTTGCTTGGTTTTCCCTCCTAGGAAATTTCCCCTGTCCTTTCATGAATATTGCTGTCCTCTGTGGTTAATCCGTAGAGAGCAAAAGGGATTCATGGATGAAAGCAATGCTGATACCTTTATGACACAATGTGGCAGATGTTTCACATATATCTCTGATTCAAACATTTCTCATTATTAAGAAAACAATTAGGAAAGTTTTTGAATCATACTGAGAAAGAGAAGAAGGGATGATCCACATGATCAGAAAACTATAGCAGAATGTAGCTGGGGACCAAAAGTTTATTTGATCCGTATGTAAATAGACCTATGATATGTTTCAATGGAAAGCACAGGATGAAGAGCTTTCTCTCAAAGAGAGAGAAAGTCTTTCTCAGAGAGGTAACCACGTTACCTCTGTGACAGCATATATGTCAGAAAGACAACAAAATCAACAGTGCTGTGCGACCTTTTATGGCTAACATATATTTCAGTGAGAACGGCTGTAAGTTATAGTCCGCTTCCTTGGATATGCACAGTGCAATATTTTGGCTGTGGCTTTATATAACACACTATCTATGATTGTGAGGGGGGACCCTGGTTGAAATGGGATATAGAAGAAATCAATAACATTATTAACATAGTAATGAACATTCAAAATGTGGATTATATAAACATCCTGGTGATAGGTAGAGTAATTCATTAATACAAACAAATAGAAACTGGTCTGTTGACTCATAGCTTGCTAGCTCTCTAGAGAACTTCTAACATTCAGGTATGTTTCTTTTCCCCTGAAATTTTGAAACTAAGCTTTCTGGAGGGCTATAGCATATGCAGATTACCGTATTTTTCACTCCATAAGATGCACCAAATTTTTAGGCGAAGAAAACAGGAAAAAATAATCTGGGAATTTTGCTCCATAAGACGTACAGTATACACTTTTCCCCAATTTTTTTTTTTTGAAAAAAGTGTGTCTTATGGTGCGAAAAATACGGTACCTCTCAGCAGTAAGAATTTCCCTTATTTGATTGACCTCATTCTGTCCAAAATAAATGATTCAATGCCATGCCATGGTTGCCAGCTGATTTGCTCCTAATATTTGCAGGAATGGCCCCTATCTATTTGTTTGTCACTGACAGAGTTCTAGGGACATGGGCACTTTGTTTGCTAAACTGTAGCTCATGAGATTTGACTAAAATAAGCAGAACTGATTTGAGCTCCTTTGTCTCAGAGACATTCTGTCTTCAGCTAGTAGCATTCTTGACAAAGAGAATCCAGTATTGATTTCCCCCCCCCCACTGTGAAGTGAGAGGCCTTGGCATTTTCTCTGATAGTGTTTATGCTTCTAGTCTATTTGATATGCAACAGGTAAGGCCCTTCTAGTGTATGTAACAAGATGATATTTTGTATTTCTGAAATGCTGACATCTCTAGCACTTACTCCAGGCTATGAATGCCTGTTTGTGTTTCTCTGGAACTTTGGAGAGTTACTGCTACTCAGAGTAAACAGGCTTGGCAGTAGGAAGTCACAACTAGAGTAGGCCCATCATATCAGTGGGAATTTGGCGAGTCACATAGGAAGTCACAACTAGAGTAGGCTCATCATATCAGTGGGAATTTGGTGAGTCACCACCTATATAAATTCCATGGATTCAATGGAACTTCTCTACTTGTGACTTCCTACTGGATTTCAGCCACTTAGTTAGACCAACCATGAGGCAGATTTCCTTGTTTGTAAGTGTTAAATAATGATAAGATATAATTGTTGGATTCTGTAAGGCTGTCTTTCATTTTCTGAACTTGTATACCACAATGATTGTCACACACACCCTGTCCCTGCTTTAAGATTTCTCATTTAAACCCAGCCTTTACAAAGATGGCAGTCCTTTATTTACACTGGCTGAAAGGTATGTCTAAAATTGAGAGTGGACAAAGAGCAGCACCAGGCAGGGAAGGAATGCTTGTATGCCACATTATAGGCACCTGTAGAAAAGAGCTACCTTCCTGCTGAATGTTCTACTTTATGCCATCCCTGCAGCTGGTGTGACAAGCAATTGCTTCCTATTTACTTCAGTGAGAGATGTTTCGAATTTTTAATAAGCATACCTGCCACACATGTATCACCACATCAGCACCCAAAAGGTACACCATCACCACTATACGTATAAACTTTACCCAGAGATACCATAATTCAGGCAATAGAGTATGCAAAATGAGGCCACATACCTTTAGGCCCACCACATAAGGTATATATAAAACTAAGCATGCAAAATGTAAGTGAGGACTTCTTTCTTTTAGCGAAGCTTTAATACCTGTCACCTTTCCAATCCTGTGTGCTGTACAGGGAGCCATGGCAATAGTTCCTTTCTATGCATCTGTGGCTTCCTTTTGTTGCTTTTCCTACCCCACCCCTTCTTTTATCTGTGTAGCCAAGCTATCTTTCCCTCCTTAATTGGATCTTGAACCTCTGCTCCAAAAGGGCTTTGTGTGTTCTCTCCTTAGCGCTAGATAGGTGATGTGTTAACAGAGGCTCTCCTTGTTTCCATTTGTATATTTGTGTATAGTGTAAGTACATTTGAAGCCCTTCCTGAGGGATACATGGAGAGTAGCACCACCAGAGGCATTGCTGCTTGCCTGCACTACATCCCTTTTAGGGGTGGAGGTTGCTGTGGAATTTTCCATGGTTTATGTGTGCATTGTAGGGGTGTTTGCTTGTGCCAGCAAGTCCATTATGTGGTAGATTATTGCCTCCCCACATGTGAGGGTGTTATCAACATAGTCCAGGTGGGCTATGGTAGTGTTTTCAGTAATGCTATTGGAATGTCTGTCATTCTTATTTTCTGAGTTATGCATGTCAGACCCTTAGGAGGCACTTGACTTTCCCAGGAGTCATATAGAGCAGTGGCCCCCAACCTTTTGCCTCCATGGACCACTTTAGCGTGTGGGGGGCATCTGTGCATGCGTGGGAGGGGCTGTGTGTGTGGGACGGGCCATGGGAGGGGCTCTGCATGCATGGGAGGGGACATGGGAGGGGCCGTGTGTGGATGGGAGGGGCTGTGGGAGGGGCCGTGCATGCATGGGAGGGGCCGTGCATGTGTGGGAAGGGTGTGCATGCATGTGTGCATGGGGGGCAGGAGTTTTGTCTCAGCAGACTGGTCCTGGCAAGGCCATGGCTGGGGACCCCTGCTATAGAGATTGATAGAGCTCCTAGGCAAAGAACAGAAGCCTATGGTTCATCATATCTGACACTATACCAGTAAAGGGTTAATCCCAGAATGAAACCAATCATTGACAAGCATTTTAAAATTCATCTCGGTATCAAGTACTGTATAAGCACTTTGTTCCAGTAATTCCAGGTGATTCCAAAACCTGTCCAATTCTATAAGCCTTTATACATGACTTCTAGGTCCCATGGTTCAAAGATAGCAAGTCCAAAATATATTGAAGACAGTCATACACTTGTGAAGAAAACTGTAGGCATATAACTGAAAATCCATTCTTGCTACTTGTAGCAAGATGCAGATGTCAAAACCAGAGTTGTAAGTGAATACTTCACAATATAGGAACAAAATATAAACAAATCACAGAAAGAATGTTTTAATAACGTTTTCAAAACTATAAACTATAAATTTATATTTTATAAAGGCAGAGAATACATCTCTAAAATACTTAATTGAAAAGCACAAACATTATAAACTTCAAAGCTGCAAAAGCTTCCTTAAAATACATGAAGAAAATTAAAGTTCTCAAAAAGTATATAAAATGAAAAGCACTTCTGAGCTGCTAAGTATGTTTAAACACACACAAAATCAATGATCATATTCTCATTCATTTTAGTCAGGATTAAAAGCCTAAGTGAAATCCATTGTTTATTTTCTGGAGCTGCTTAATTATCCTTCTCCTTGGATAAAATGTCTCTCAGAGCTGCTGCTTCTGATGGGAGTGTGAGAAACAAAGGCTAATTTTAATTGAAGTTATTGTTTATCTAATCTGCTACAAAGCAGCAAATATACTGTTTAGAAGTAATGATTATTGCTTCAAATCAGTGACTTTGTTTACCTTTTCCACTTGTCAGCTCCAACAACTGCTAATAAGCAAAATAATATACAACCATATGTCATTCATTACCTGTTTGTAAGCAACCGATTTGTGTATCTACATCAATTATCTACTAGATGTCAGTATTTGCTATTTTCATATCTCTTGTTTACACACTGAATAGCAAAGAAACAAGAAATTGCCAAAGAACTCTTGCATTTTCAGTGACATTGCTCTGTTTGAGCCAATTTGTTGTTTTAAAGCCCTTGTAGTAACAATATTTTCATGCCACAGGTTTAAAAATACTTTCACCTTGCGACAATTTTAAGGCCATTTTCTGCACCCTCATAATTTTTCTAACAGTCTTAAATAGACATGGTATCAAACATTAACACCCTGGTCACCTGGACCAAGAGGCAGTGTGATATAGCAGACATTCCACTGGTGCCATATCTTTATCTTCATCATAATTTGTTTATATAATTTCTTTTTTATTAATGGGCTATGCAGGTAAACATTCCAAAATACAGCTATAAGGACCAGTAAGTTCCCAGCATGTTTAAATTCTATATAGAATTTTTCTATTTTTATGATGACGATGATGATGATGACCTCCTGAGAAAAAAATTCTAGTTGCAAAACAATTTTTAAACAGTACATTATATCAATAAAATAACAAACAATACAGTTTGCAAACCCTCAAAACGATGAATCCGCATGATGACGACATTTTGCGGCAGCCATTTTGCTTTGCAAAATAGTGATTCCTATGGGGGAATTTCGCTGGACAGTGATTTGGTCCATGCTTCGTGGACCATTTTTTTGCAAAACAACGATTTAGAACAGCTGATCAGCGGTTTGCAAAATGTCTTCCCATGGGGCGATCCTCACAAAACAGGTGTTTTCGGGCCCATTTTTTGCAAGATGGCAATTAAAAACAGCTGATTGGCGGTTCACAGAGCGGCTTTCCTATGGCCGATCTTCACTAGACAACTATTCTTCCCCATTGGAACGCATTAAACAGGTTTCAATGCATTCCAATGGGGAAATGCTTTTTGCTAGATGATGATTTCGCTAAACAGCGATTTCGGTGGAACGAATTATCATCGTCTAGCGAGGCATCACCGTATTTTTCTATGCATTTGCAAGAAGGCTTTCAAAGCTATTAAAATTATACTGCTTTTAGTTTTAAATACTGTACGTTATTGAAATGTATTTTTAGACTTTGTAAGTATATGCTTTTGCATTTTTATGATGCAACCTAAAACATTTTCATTGTTCCTTTTTATTCTCACAAATATTTTGCTGAATTAAGTAGTGGTGTCTTGAGTTGTGAACTTAATTCATTCTGGGATGATGGTCGTAACTCAAGTTGGTCATAAAGCACCATTTCCCATAGGATTACATTGAAATGCGATCAATCCATTCCAGCCTTTTTTTGGTTGTATCTCAAGGCGCTGGTTGTATTTCAAAGCATTCATTCCCATAGGAACTAATGCAAAAGAGGTTAATCCGTCCACTAGGGGGAGACTTTTTTTTAACGTAAGGTTAAAAAAAGGGCAGGAAAGGAGGGAGGGAGCTTTTTTCTGGTCGTATCTCAAAGCGCTGGTCGCAAGTCAAAGCAAACGAGCTGATTGTAACTCGAATTGGTCACAAGTCAAGACGTTCGTAAGTCGAGGCACCACTGTATTTGCCTGTAACTTAAGTTCAGTTTCCATATATTTTTAATATTTGTGCCTACATTTTTTCTTACCATTGTAAGATTGTCTTCAATACATTTTGATTTGTTATGTTTTGAAGCAATTTTGTGTATATAGAATGCAGAAGCAATGTAGATAAATAAAGTCTGTAGGATTAAACAGGCTGATGTTGTCTGGAATTATTGCAACAGGAAAGAGACTTACACTTTGATATTTGAATTTTGATATGATTTTCTCTGATTTTTTAAAATTTTCACTCTGGAATTAACCCTTCATTGAAATAAGTACCATCTGTGACAAACACAGACTTCTGATTTTTTCCTTCAAGGTCTATGGAATTTCTGTAGGACTGTTAGGGAGAATCAAGCACCTAATTTCCAGATCTGACAAAACCAACTGCCTATATAGACTTTTCAAAGTTATGCAAGAATATTTAGTTTGTTTATTAAAGCTATTTGTCAAAGTTACATGCTTCAATTTATGCAGACTTCAGCTGCAATTCAACACACCAAAGGCAGAGAAGTATAATCTAGCTTTACAGATAATTTTGCCTGGAGTCCCAGAAATAACTCAAGAGCCACAAGTCTCCCATTCCATGCAAAAGCTTTCCTGCTCACAAATGCTTGCTAAGTTCTATGTAGGGCATTTAAACTTTAGTACATTTACTTTGTTATCTCCAGTCACTCCATGGAAGTAGCAGATGCAGCCTGAGGCTGAATTTTCGTATACCTGGTATGAAGCATAATGGTGGGTTGCATAGATACATAGGAAAGTACAGCACCTTAGGTAAAGAACTGAGCAGGTATGGGCTTAGATTGCATATCTTAGTTGTTTGTCTTTGATGTTTCCAGAACTCCTCTTTCCTGGATCGTAACGATGCTGACCTGCCACTCTGCTTTGAACAGACTGTTCTTGTATGGATCCCTTTGGGGTTCCTTTGGATCTTTGGCCCATGGCAGCTTCTCCCCATGTTCAAATCCAGGATGAAGAAATCATCTGTTACTACAGTTTATCTCTTCAAGCAGGTGGGGGAAAAGAGCATGCCAGAGTTTTTAACTAGGTGGTAGAAAGGTTTACTCCATGCAAAAGAGCAGTTGACTGGGAGATGATAAGTATTATGAGAATACATATATGTGTCTAAATGAAACAGGCACAAGTGGTGAGAGCATAGAAGCCGGAGGGTGCAATGAATTTGCCCTTCAACCAGAAGCCTTTTAATTGTGATATCGCAGTTTTTACTGTCAATGTGGAGACCTTCATTCTAATACAATCATTGTTATCAGAAACTGAGCATTGAACTGATTGTGCAAATGGTGTTAATTTCTTGTTATGCACCATCAAGTTCCTCTAACCTTATGATGACCACCACAAAGTCCTGTCATTCACAACCCTGCTCTTGTCTTCTATTAAACTTCATTAGTAAGGAAAGTCATTACAATTCTATCTTGGGAGCACCTGCTTTGAGTACATAAACAGAGGCTTGTGATCTTTTAACATGACCAACATCCTTAATAACGCACAAGGTTTTGTGGACAAAATACATGAACATGTTATACAAATAACTTGACTAGGTGAAGTGTAAGTCACCATGTTTTGGAGTAAGCCCACAGGACAGGTCACCCAGTGGACTAGAATCCTGAGAGTAGAAAACTTATTTTGGTTTACAAACCCTAGAATCCTGGCTTTGGATTCCTACCATTTTCACTTTTTTGAACTCTGGTCTTGCCCTGCAACAAGTGCTGCTTTTCCATGTCTGGGTGTTCCTTGCAGTCTTGTTCTTCTGAATCTAGCAGGTGGTAGTAACATGACACTCTCCACTCTCTCTCTCTTTGTTCAGGTGCTAACTGTGCTGCTCATATTGATAGCAGTAGCAGAAGAGATTTTCACAGTTGTTGAAATCCTAGGGCACCACCATAACCCTGCTGTCCAGTACACGAATCCTGCACTCTACGTTGTCACTTGGGTGAGAATCACTCTTTGCCAATCCTTGCTGCTGCATAGAAATGGGAGGTCTGTCTGGGAATTTGGGGATATTGTAGTTGAAAGCTGGAAGTCTATAAAGTCTCTGACAGAAGCAAAAGCATTTTGCTCAGAGATGCCAAATCCAGAATGACCATTTCATACTGGTTGCTAGACTATTACTAACAAACGGCGTTGAAATCACTTCCTTAACCTTCTATATCAATGTCTGAAGGAGCTAATTAGTTACTTGTTTCTTTTTAAACGAGATCAGACATTCATTCATTCATTCAAACTTGTACCCTGCCCATCTAGCGGCATGTCACTACTCTGGATGGCTACAAAGGAAATAAACACAGGTACTCAAAAGACAAAAATTAAAAGCAAACTAAAACAAAAATTAAAAATAGCTAATTAAACCATAAGCAGTATACAGCTGACACAGGGCCATCACCATATTACCTAAAAGTTAAATTAAAAAGGCTTGGGTGAAAAGCTGGCTAAGGAGGAGGGCCTGACACATCACCAGAAGGGAATTACATAGCAAGGCAACCACTACTGAGAAGACCTGACGCCTGGTTGATGATTTCCAGGTCTAACCCTTGAAGTGGCCAATGGCAACACGAAAGATTGGAAAGTGCAGGTAGGATGGGAGGTCAGCCTGACGGAGAGGCATTCTGTCAGGTAGCAAGGTCCTAAACCACACATGACTTTATAAGTTAATATTAGCACCTTGAATTTGTCCTGGAAGCCTACTGGCAGCCGGTCCAAACAAACCAGGCAAGGTGAAATGTCAAATGTTGAAGTTTGCAAGACCAATGTGGCTGCTGCACTTTGCACTTGCTGCAGCTTCTGAACTGCCTTCAAAGGCAGCCCCACGTAGAGATCATTGCAGTAGTCAGTCCTCAAAATTACCAATGCCTGAGCCAGTGTCATTAGAAGTGTGCAGTCTGCCTAAAATGGAAAAAGACAATCATTAGAATGACACCCAAAAGACCACCATGATTGTTCTGCACAAGTCATGGTGCAGAACTCATCCAAAATAAGCGTATTCAGCAAGTTAGGAATGATAACCTCATGGTGTTTCATATCCTGATAGGAATCTCTGGAGCATCCTTGGTTTTGTAACCCTGAAGCCAATCCAGGCCTCTAATCTCTCTGCTGTGCAGGTGCTTGTTTTGCTGATCCATGACAGCCGTCGCTTCACCATGCGCAGGGACTCGTGGATTCTCTTCCTCTTCTTCGTCCTTTCGGTCCTCTGCGGTGTGTTTCAACTTCAGACTCTCATCCGGCAAGTGGTGCAGGTTAGAAGTATAGGAGGCAACTCAGAACAAGGAAGGTGGGAGTGGTCCAAAAACAAACTTCCAGGGAGCAGTTCCTGGAACTTCCTCTCCCTGCAAGTAACCAGGGTTTGCCACATTAAATTCAGCAAGCCCATCCACCATACTTGACTCAGTACCTCATTCACTGGGCAAAGAGGCTTGGGAAGAAGCACTTGTGTTCTTCAAACACAGTTGGGGAGCCTCCTGGTGGCCAGTTCTTCTAGCCTTGGTTGCCTGGAAAAAAGCATCCTAGGCTCACATTTGGCTATTTCTACTGGTAACTTCCGATTGTTTTCTCCTCCAGCAGGGCTCTGCTACTGATGTACCACGTTTCATCTTCTTCACAATCTCTTTTGTGCTTCAGCTCTTTCTGTTGTCCATCTCTGTTATTTCTGACATTGCTCCTGAAATGAAGGAGGCTGCAAAGAAAGTAAGTCATAGACTGCATATCATGGGCTTGTACGATATCTTTTGAGATGGGAAGAGTGAGCGGAATTATTCATGTCTCACTTCAAAGCAACTTTCTGAAGGGGTCTAATGGGATGGGAAACATCCCCACCAGAAACTCAATTACATCAGGTACATCTTGCCCATACGATCTACTGGGCATCCCTTAAGTCCTACTGGGTATATTGATGCATTTGTGGGGCAGAAGTGACCTCACAAAAATAAGACTTTAATAGATTCAATATGTTGTTTTGAAAAGAGAAGGTCAAACCATTCACATCTCATCATTGTTATTCCTAGAATTTTTCACTTTGGGAGTTCTGCTTCTTCCCTTGTTTTGCAGAATCCAGAGGTCACAGCATCTGTCCTGAGCTTCCTCACTTTCCACTGGTACAACAGGTATGCAGATCTGGGTGTACCCATAAGTACGTGTCATGTGTATTAAATATCACTGTGCTAAAAAGTTTCATTTTTAGGAGTGCTTCTGAACGGCTCATGAAAAAAAAGCCCTACTCCCCTCTCTTTTTGAAGGAGTGATTTGAATGGGAGACTTGCCTTCTATGAAATTTAAATATATTCTAGTAATTATTTATAGAGAGCAATTGTGGTGTAATGGATAGAGAGTTGGACTAGGACTCAGGAGACCTCAGTTCAAATCTCTGCAGGGCCACAGAAACGCAGTGGGGGCTTCACTTGTAAAACCACTGCTTAAATGTTTCACATACTTGAAAACTCTACTAGGGTCACCATTACTCAGAAATGATGCAACATTTCAGACAGCTGAAAAGCATGTGTTGTTTGGTGCGTATAAAAGAGCAAAAAAAATTGGATTAGTGAGTGATGAGGAGACCAATACTGTAATTTAGTTTTAGGTGGATAATACTTAGAGCAAACTTCCTACCAAGCTTCTGTTTTGTTCCCCCCCCCGCCCCCATGCTGTATCTAATTAGCTTAGTGTAGCAAACAAAGGACTATTTTTTTTCAAAGGGAGCTGATAGTCCCTCCTTCTGTGGTGGCCTCTTTTCATTAACAGTATTTCCAGATGTTGACATTCTGTGCTAAACTATCCAAAAATCCTGACACTAGAAGAGGGAATTCTTCAAATGGTGAAAGATGTGTTATGATCACACCACTCACTGTTTGCAAATCAAATTCGTTTTGCAATTTGTCTTCTGGACCTAAACATGGAGTTTGTTTGCATGTGTGATGGTTCAGTCACAAAGGTCTAAATAAAGGGAAATCACCAGTGGGACAACAATGCATTTTAGTTTCTAGTGATGGACCCTCTGTAACCTTTGGTTTAGCCCTCTGATGATGTAGCTGTTGGAATTGAGCACGTTCAAAACAAAGAGTTAGTAACATGAAGAACTGCAATCATGCCTAAGAAGATTTCACTCTTGCTTACAGCATGGTGGTGAAGGGATATCGGAAGCCATTAGAGATGGATGATGTCTGGGACTTGAGGGATGCCGATAAGACAGAGAAGATTTTTGGCACTTTTGACAAACACATGAAGTCTGGGGTCAGAAAGGCCCAGCGGAAATTGGAGATACGTCAGCGGAAGAAGAAAAGGCACTGGGCAGCCACTGACAACCGGAATGGCTTGAGCAAGGCGCAGAGTCAGGATGTCTTGGTGCTGGTAAATGTCTTGGAAACCCTCCATTTCACTTCCTAACAGGGTAATAGATTTGTGGGGTGGGATATGAGGGCTCTATCCTATCACCAAATGTAAATTCTGCTTTGAATACAGGAAGAGAAAGAGAAAAAATGCAAGAAAAAGTCAGACAAAAAGGACTCCAAAGGGGACTATGCTAAAAGTTGGCTGATGTGTTCTATGGCTCGAACCTTTAGTGGGAACCTTATGAAAGCCGTGGTATTTAAGGTCTTGCAAGACCTGTTGACGTTTGTGAGTCCACAGCTGCTGAAGTGAGTCAAGACTCCAGATTTTTTTTTGAAACCTTTCTGTGATGGGGCTGGGGGCAGGAATGGGTTAAGGGGAAAATGGTAATAGAAAATCATTGCATTGTCAAGAAAATATTAATTGATTTTGCCTACAGAAGCTTGCAAAACACTGCCTGGCAATCCAGAGACCCCAAACTGAATGTTCAAATATTCTTAAGAGTTTTGTGGTACAGTTTGTGTGTTGTACATGTGCTCTTAGTCAAATTCACAGGTCTGAAGCTCCCTCCTGAATTTTCAAAGAAGTTTCATTATATTTAATTTCTCCCAGTCCTGATATTATGAGTTTATGTGCTAGTTCCATGTGCACCCAATGCACATGCACCTACACCCACCAGACAGTGGTAATTCTGTGCCTTGGCTTCTGCTTCTGTTTATCTTCTAGGACCTCCTTCCCAGTATTTATGTGATCTATATCTACATACTTCTCTCCAGTACCCTGTTTCCCTGAAAATAAGACCTAACCTGAAAATAAGCCCTAGTATGATTTTTTTAAGATGCTTGTAATATAAGCCCTACCTGAAAAATAAGCCCCAGTTAAGTGAAACCCCGCCCTCCACCATTGTGCAGCAACCAGAAGAAGATGGCATGACTGCATTTGAATAAATGTAGATTGTTGTACATGAAAAAAATAAAACATCCCCTGAAAATAAGCCCTAATGCTTTATTTGGTACAAAAATTAATATAAGACCCTGTCTTATTTTCGGGGAAACACAGTACTTACTCAAACAGTAGCAACCTCAGTAGCAGTGATTCCTTTGCACCTGGCAAGCAGATCCAATCTTCAACTGTTCAAACTATTATTTTGCCCTAATGCAAGCTCACAAAAACAAACAGCTTATGAGTTTCTACTTTAACCTAATACTCTAAGATTGTTTTATGGCCCAGGCACATATATTCTAAGACACACTGAGGGCTTGGCTACAAGTCTTGGCTGGAGCGGGCTGGTGTGGACTAAATAGGGTTGCTAGGAGATCCAGTATGCCATTTGGTGCAATCTTCACATCCAAATGGTATATGAGCGTTGTTTTTGTTGTTTAGTCGTTAAGTCGTATCCGACTCTTCGTGACCCCATGGACCAGAGGACAGCAGGCCCTCCTGTCTTCCACTGCCTTCCAGCGTTGGGTCAAATTCATGTTGGTAGCTTCGATGACACTGCCTAAAAATCTTGTCCTCTGTCGTCTCCTTTTCCTCTTGCCCTCACACTTTCCCAATATCAGGGTTAGTTGACCCTATTTAATCCTATTTAACATGAGTGTTAGGTGACCCTATTTAATCCACATCAGCCTGTTGCCAATTTGATAATGTCATGAAGTGGCTTAAGAAGAGAGCCACTTCAGGAATCTGGCAAATTAAACACTTCCTTGGCTTCATGGAAGGGCTAAGGAAGTAATTTTTCTCCCTAAGTGTTTTAGGGTAGCACATGTGTGCTGCATCACTTAAAAAAAAAAGACAAATGAAAAACATCTTCCCAGATGCAAGTGAGAAGCAATGAGGCAAGTTTTTCTTTACTTTTCTCTTAAAGTTCTGGTAGAAAATCAGGCAGGTTCTTGGCTCAACCTTTAAAAGAAAACCAAACAAAAATCTCCGTCATTGCCCCCTCCCACTTCTGAGAGGAAGTTTTTCTTTTTCTTTTTTTTTCTCTCTCTTTTTTTTTAGTGATGCAGCACATATGCACTGCCATAATGCACTTACTCCCCCCCCCTATTTCCTTAGTCCCTTCACAGAGCCAGTGAAGTGTTTAATTTGCCAGAGTCCTAAAGTGGCTCTCTTAAACCACTTCACAGTACTGGCAAATTGACAAGGGAAGGTTTGCTTTTGGTTTGTTTCCAGTGATTGAACATGTTGGAAATGAATCGAAACAGAGTGATCATACTTGCATCAAAAAAAGCAGAAACCCCTGATAGAGGCTAGAAAGGTGCAGGTAAGACCACTCGGGGCCAGGCTGGTTTGCTCCAGCAAAGACGTCATCTGATCTCTGTCTTCAGGAATGAACCAGCTTGTCACTAGAGTAGATCAAAGCGGGGGCTAAGCACTTGTGGAGTCACCCTCTGACTTTTCTTTACCTGGGATTTGAAAATAAACTTTTCCAAGTCTGGGTCTATTAAGATCATAAGATAGTTTGGGGGTGGCCAAGCTCCATAGGTTCAGGGACCAATTTTAGGTAGTGCCACGATGGGGAGCATCAGTTGCCCAGAACAAGACAAGAAGTTGCTAGGAATCCAGTTCTATTTTTGTAAACCTTGCCTCTTCCCCCCCACCCCACCCCCCGGTGCAGCAATGTACAAGGGGCCTTATGTCTTGTTTTAAAGCCAAATTTTCTCTCTTGCAGGCTTCTAGGAGACAGAATAGCCAATTTGGGGCTGATTTTTTTTTTAAATAAGGCAATGTTGAGAGGGGACTGGGAGGGACTGGAAAAAGGGACCACATGCAGCCTGTGGCCCATTGAATTTACATCCAGGTTGCAAAGGGTCATTAATGGAGCTCATTCCAGGAGTTGGATCTTGGTCTCTTCCCTGAACTGTGGGGTTATGACAGGCATGGGTGGGGGTTAGAAGAGGACTGAGCCCTCTCTGAAGTCATTAGGCAAGAAAACTCTCATGTTATTGTAAGACGTCTCAGGAGTGTGATGAATAAAAAGTGTTGTAAAGATAACTAGGCACCAAAAATATTAAGGCCATAATGGTCCTAGGAGTAGGCGGTGGTGATGGGGGAATCCCAAGATTTGAAATTGAATCTTGAGACAATTCAGTACTCACTTGGGAGTAAACCTCACTGAACACGACAGGAGGGGACTCACTCCTGAGTATATATTGTCCTTCAATAGGTCTTCACAGTCAGAAGCTGGGCTTTCTATGACTTCTGAGTGTCCTTTCTCCTCCAAAGCCATATCATGGTTTCATGCCAATTAGGTGGCATTTGGGGCAGCAGAACCCCAGTTGCCTGCTGCAGCATTTCCCCCCTCCCACTTATTAATACCGGGGGGGCGGCTTTTTTTTTCCTGAGCTGCTTTGTGCAGCATTGAATCACAGAGTTAGAGAAAGCATGACAGACTTTGCAGGCTGCCTGATGCTTGCATTGCATACGCTGGACTGAGCAGAAGATTGTGGACTAGGTGTGAGGAATAAGAAGCTGATGAAGAGACAGTATAGGAGATGTTCTTGAGGTTTCTGCTTCATGTAAGGTGGTGTGGCATTCAGGATAACACGCAGCTTGCCTTCTGTCTCACAGGCTGATGATCAACTTTGTGTCAGATCCAAAGGCCTATGTGTGGCACGGATACCTCTATGCGGTGCTGCTGTTTGTGACCGCACTGGTGCAGTCTATCTGTTTGCAGCAGTACTTCCAGCTCTGCTTTTCACTGGGCATGAGTGCACGCACTGTCCTTATGGCTGCCATCTACAAGAAGGTCAGTTGGGTGCTTTCCCTCACGCCGGCCATTCAACATGGAATGACTGCTTCCCCTCAGTGGGTTGGCTTGGGGGCAGCAGTTGGGATTGGCTGGGCAGGAAATGGAAGGCAAGAGTAACAAACTGGTTCTTGATCTTCCGGCTGATCTGCCTGCTTTGGAGTGAAGGAAAAGCTTGGACAAGTTACTTTTCTGGAAGGTAACTCCCTGAATCTCTCAGTCAGCAAAACCAATAGAAATGCTGGCTGGGGAATTCTAGGAACTGAAGTCTGATTTTTTTTTCTTTTCTAAGATCTGGAACAGATTGGTTCACTCTTTAAATGTGGCCCCATTTCACATGATAATTAGACCACACTATCTGTTCCAATGTCTGGTTGTCTTTGTAGTCATTGCTGTTCCCATTGTGTGTTCTTTGCTTCCTGTGGTAATTACTGTACCTCCCCACAGGCCCTTACAGTCTCCAATGCCACACGGAAGGAGTCCACAGTGGGTGAGACAGTGAATCTAATGTCAGCAGACGCCCAGCGCTTCATGGACTTTACAAACTTTATGCACCAGTTGTGGTCAGCTCCACTGCAGATAGTACTGTCTCTTGTGTTTCTGTGGACAGAGCTGGGCCCCTCTGTGCTTGCTGGGCTTGGAGTTATGGTGCTGCTCATCCCTATCAATGCTGTGCTGGTTGCCAAGGCCAGGAGCATCCAGGTGAGTGCAGGCTTTCTCCTTTAAAGGAGACCATCCCTCTCCAATCCAGATGCTCACCTGAACCCCCAGAACCTCTGTTCATCATTCTTGACCTTCCATGATCCCAGTCCTGTAAATCCCACTCTTTAGCTTTTATTGTTCCATTATGGTTAAACAGGGTCCTTAGTCAAATTAAAGGGGGCAGCTCAGGGCCAGGGCACCAGTGACTTGCTAAAAGATAGAATTGTGTGCATTTTGGGAGCTGTATTATGCCCTTCGAGGTAGCCTGCTCTCCTTAGATATGCTTGAGGATGCTATCCCATTGCTACTCTTGAAATAAGATTCAGTTGTCACTCTGGTCAGCTTGATGTGAGATGGTGGGAGGTGACCAGGATCCTGTGGGTGTTCACATAAGTTTAGGTAGGTACCTTTCTGTGGCTAACTGACAAGGTGCCAGGGTACATCTTGGTGATATGTCCAGTCATGCACCTGAGTGTACGACTAAGATGTGCCCTGGCACCACATAAATGAGCTTCAGCAGACTATGCAAATGTATACAAACACAAATGGGATTCCAAGCCTTCGGTCATTGTTTTGGGATGGCCTGGTAGCAAAGCTGGTTTCTTGCCTCTTTGTGACTATGATGCCCTCCACTGAATTGACTGCCCTTAGTGCACCATCCCCATCCATAATGGAAAAGTGCTAGGGACATTTCTTGCCAGGAAGGGGAAGTGGCAGAGTCTGAACTAGTTGACCACTTCAGGTGAGGGTAGAGAAATATATTAATAATTATGAGCTCTCAAGTTGATTCCAGCTTATGGCAACCTTTCCAGGGTTTTCTATGTGCAGAGTACTCAGAAGTGTTTTAACATGGCCTTGTTCAAGGACTTTGTGGCTTGCCCAAGACCACACAAGCTGGCTGTTATCCTACAAGACACAGCAGGGAACTAAAGTTCGGACCACTGGCTCTGCACCCGGATGCTCCAGCTTGCTGAACTATGTTGGGACAGCCAGGAGAGTGTCATTGTCAGGGTGATGGCCTCAGAAGACTTTGGTTGGAATCCCTGCATGGCCATGAGTGGTGGCACTATTAAACCAATCCTTAAATATCTCCAATTTCTTGTAAACTCTATCAGGTCACTATAAATTGGAAGCAACTTTACTGCACTTAAGAACAATGAAATATGGTTACCTAAGTGACAATCAATAGCATTACATTCTCTGTGTTGTTGGTATGAAAGTTATTACAGCTACTGCCTGGGGGCTACAGGGTCAGAGTAGGCTTCTTCTTTTTCCCTTCCCATTGCACTCCCTCCAGCATTTCAATTTATAGCAGCGGCTAGTGGCCAGAATTATCATTCTCCGTGTCACTGTATTTTCCCACTTCCGGTAGAAGCTCCGGGTGCTGTTTGTATCGATAAAATATGGCTGCCTTTTCCTGCTTTGGTGTCATTGAAAGGGAGAAAGAATCTGATGCCTAGCCTTGTCAAGGTCAAATGCATGACACCTGGCTGATGACCACACTGGCTAAGAGATTCTGGAAGCAATGGTCCAAGGAAGTAACAGGCCATCATCCAAGTAAATATGTATACCTGTGTAAGTGCATTGGTGTAAATCAACATGGGAAACAGCCACTAATTAATGATTCCCCAATTGAAGCCCTAGTAGCCTATCAGTTGTGTGAATCCTCAGCACATCTGGGGGTACCAGCCTAAGAGCGGTGTGGTGGGGCATGCCATGTAATGAAGAATTCAGTCAAGGACTTGCTCATTAGCAGCTCTTCACTGCACCAAGTTATGCCAATGCAGTTACCCAGGTGTAAATACTCAGTTCAGGCCACCTTTTCAAACTCTGACCCAGTGTAACTTCCAGAGATCTATTTGAGAAGTAATAAAATCACAGCATAATTGATGCTTCTGACTGTCGGCGGCAAAGCAAAACAACCCCTCAGTACAGATTGCTGACAAATGGTGCTTCCTGAGGGGTTATGGTTTTTCATTGTAAGTTGGAAATGACTTGACATAACATAACAACAAATGGCAGTTTGTGGCTCCTTGTTACTCACTTTGGTCATCTTTGTTTAGATTAAAAACATGAAATATAAGGATGAGCGTCTGAAGATCATGAATGAAATTCTCGCAGGTGTCAAGGTGAGTGAGAGGAAAAGACCATAATATTCCACCCCTGGGATGGTAGCTGCCCTGCTAAGTATGACATCAATGGGATTTGATCACCAGGCCTTGTGTTACTTAAACCAGGGGCATGAGACCTTTTTCCTGTCAGGGACCACTTTATTCCTTTGGTGAAAACCTGGTATAGTGAGGCTGATTCAGAGGTACCAAAATAATAATAGAAGGAGCTGGAAATAAAGGAGCTGGAAATAGGAGCCTTGTGGTGCAGTGGTTAAATTGCTGTACTGCAGCTAAAACTGTGCTCACAACCTGGGGTTCAAATCCCAGGTAGCCGGCTCAAGGTTGACTCAGCCTTCTATCCTTCCGAGGTCGGTAAAATGAGTACCCAGCTCGCTGGGGGGGCAATGTGTAGCCTGCATAATTAAATTGTAAACCGCCCAGAGAGTGCTTGAAGCGCTATGGGGCGGTATATAAGCAGCACGCTTTGCTTTGCTTTGCTTTGCTTTAAAGTGGGTATATTTTGAAAGTAGCCCAAAGTCCACATGTAACCACTGGACTGCAGGTTCCTCACCTCTGGCTTAGAAATGCAAGGGGGCATGGAAACTCAGAGTATTGCCTTCCATCTCTGGCCGATGGCCTCAAGGAACAAACCTCTGAGCTCAGTGTTTGGATTGCTTTTACCAGCTCTCGGTGTATACACTGACCAAGAAGAGGCTTAACGTTGCCCATATTGGATATGGGGCAGGGTGGGGTGGAGCTCTCGTCCTTTTTGGACTGGATGAAAAGCTTCCTATTTCTGAACTGCATGTCTGACCACGAGCCTTCTTCAGATCCTGAAGCTGTTCGCCTGGGAGCCCTCATTTCAGAAGCGGGTTGAAAAAATCCGAGCCCAGGAGCTGAAGGGCCTGCTGCATTTTTCCTACCTGCAGTCCGTCGCCATTTTCGTCTTCACGTGTGCTCCTTTCCTAGTAAGATGATGTTTGGGAGTGGGGCTGGGCAATTGGGAAGGAGAGGGAGCTCCTAAAGAAGAAGAAACTGACTTTGAAAAGAACCGTAAGCCCATGTAACCTAGCCTTAAAAGGTAGGCTTGGACTAAGGGGTGCGATCAGATAGACACAAACGTGTGCACCTGATTGTGCCCTAGAAAGTGGTATTAACTGGAGCAATCTCCTTTAGAGCAACCCTTCTGTCTGCTAAGGACAGCTCCAGCCTGACCACCCCCTCTCCGCAAAAGCAGAATCATTACAAATGGACCAAAAAGGTCCACTTTAGGCACAGACTGGAGTTGGCTGGTGTGCAACTTTCTGTACATCATGTGAACTAATTGTATCAGCTCACAGTTGCTCTTCAGCTGACATTTCTTCCCAGAGGGAGTTTCACCTGTCTCCAAAGCAAAGGCTTCAGGTGCTTTTGACTGCTTTATACTTTGCAGGCTCCTTCCAGTGCAAAAGGCACATCTCACCCTCTGACTCTGAATCCACAGGTCTCTGTGGCAAGCTTTGCTGTGTATGTGATGGTGGACGAGAACAACGTCTTGGATGCACAGAAGGCCTTTACTTCGATCTCCCTCTTCAATATCTTGCGCTTTCCTCTTGCCATGCTGCCTATGGTGCTGTCCTCCCTGGTGCAGGTGAGTAGACTTGTGCAGTGCAGCGGGGCGGGGCGGGGGATGGGACATGTACCTACATACAACTATGATGCCTAGCATTTATTTTATTTCATAAAATTATCATGCCCAGCACACACAATCAAAGTTGCCATGTTGGCTAGAGAGTGCTGGGCACTGTAGTCCAAAAAAGTAAGTTTTCTAAGCTCTGATCAGAATGAAGCAGGTGACCTCATGCTTCAAGGCCACTTTCAGATCGGATGGCCCTTTTCTACATCGTCAACTTTTGGCATTAACAACAGCAGTTTTTGATCAATGCCATGTGGTTAGTTCTGGGAGCTGCCCTGTTAGTGTCCCACAATTTCCCCCATCTACCGAGCCCCTTCTTTGTTGGGGGCTCTGTAAAAGGCTGACAATGGTGACTCTCAGAGCAAGCCACACACCAGAGACTGGAGCCCTGAAAAGATTGGTTATGGTAACCATTAACGGTTAATGTTGAGTCCCACTAGGTATCTGGTAGCTGCCCAACAATATTGGACACTGACAAGGGATCCGCCATGTCTGGCTCTGCTTCTGCACTCTACAGGTCAATGTGTCCACCGCACGGTTGGAGCGATATCTGGGCAGTGAAGACCTGGACACGTCAGCAATTTGGCATGAACCCCGGCCTGGTAAATGAAGGATATGGATAGAGTTTGGGAGTCAGAACAAGCAGACTGCTAGAGTGAATGCAGAAGGCTGAAGAAGAATGTGGAAGATACCTGTGGGGCTTGTTCTGCAGTTGGGCTGGAATTGATCTTGCCCCACTTTTACAAGGATGACAGGGATAATGATGATGCCACTCTGTTTCCCCCCTCCCCCCTCCTTCTAGGCTGTGCTGTGCATTTCTCTGATGCCTCCTTTGCCTGGGAACAGAATTCTGAGGCCACCATTAAAGAGTGAGTCATCACCACACATTGGAACAATAGATGTGGGCAAAGACATTATTCTTTGCTTTAAAGATACAAAGGTGGTGATAGTGGGGGGAATCCATTCTTATTTGATGATGTACAGGGTAAGAAAGGAAAAGGTAAGTCAGGCCCCTGGGGCCAGGAAAACACTTCAGCATTGCTTTAGTCATTGGGGGTGTTTTTTCATGGATCCAAAGGCTGGTGCCCACTTTTGTTTACATGCCTCCAGCCCTTACTCAGCTTCGGTCTGTGTACTTTCTGCCCTTGCAGCATAACGCTGGAAATTCCACCTGGGCGTCTCTTGGCTGTAGTGGGGCCTGTGGGGTCAGGAAAATCCTCACTGGTATCAGCAATGTTGGGTGAGATGGAGAATATCAAAGGGCACATCAATATCCAGGTGAGGAAAGAACCCTTTTGCTTCATTCATTAAGGCCTGGCCTACATATGGAGCTAAAGAAATGTTAAAATCTTGAAGGGTTTTTTTTAACCTTTAAAAAAACTTTTTGAAATGTTATTTTGAATAATTTCAATTATTTTTAATCAGTTGTTTTAATGTGAAATAGGTTTTAATTGTTTTTTTAAATACTGTGAATTACATTTATAATATGAACATATTTTAACTGCCTTTGGCTTTTAAACATTTTTGGAAGCTGCCACAAGTCTCTTTTAGGAGAAAGGCAGGGTATAAATAAAATAAAAAAGACTGAATGAATGTTGTAAAGTGGAGGGTTTCGCTTTAGATTGCAGCAAACTCAGTGAAGAGAATTGTGCCATCTGAAAGATTAGTCGATGTAGCAATTACATTTTTTGTGAACTATATTCCACTATGTCAGATACATCAAGTATTATTGGTTGAGTAGGATAGCAAAGAGGCATCGGAGGCAAATGGGATACTAAAAGTGCCAATGGCGTTAATTACCTTATTAACAGTGGCCATTTACAAAACAGTTTTCAGTGATAACAGACATTCTCACAACGAGCCCAAGAAATGTTGCCGCCTGAGGCAAAGCAGCTTCCTCCCAAAGTCAAGATCTTTGGGCACTTGAGGCAGAACACCTCATAAACATCTGTGCTTCTATCACTTCAGAGGCCATTTTACTTTATTCTGTCATCTTAGACCAGGCTTAAGTGTTCTTTGCTGTGTAGTTAAGTTGCTTTCCCTTGTAACCCTGTGAAGCATCTAGACCACGGAGTGAGCGGCCTTCTGCATACTCTCATGGCATTATGGGTGCCATTGTCAATTTCTTTTCAGGGCTCTCTGGCGTATGTGCCTCAACAAGCATGGATCCAGAATGCCACACTTAAGGACAACATCCTTTTTGGGTCACCCCTTGATGAGACTCGATACCAAAAGGTCATAAAGGCATGTGCTCTACTCCCAGACCTGCAGCTGCTTCCAGCAGGAGACCTCACTGAGATTGGAGAGAAGGTACTTACTTTGGGATTAATGAAAGAAAGAGCAGATGGCCACATGGGAGGTATAGATAGGGGAAAGAGATGGGACGGATTCCTTGAGCACCTGAGAAATTCAGTGAAATTTGAAACAAAGGACTTCAGGACACATGCAAGAATATGGGCGACTGTGGATTGGACAGACTAAAGACATTTTGTTAGGCCTGAGTCAAATAACAAAATGGTGGCCCCTCTCACTGCACATTCAAAACTCAACTGGACTGACACATCCATCTTACTTCAGCACTAAAATGTGACAGCATCTTGCACCAAACTAGAAGGTGGACAGAGGGGAGGTCTCATGGCACCCATCTCCCCTTTCCAACATCTTTCTGCCACCTCATAGAATCTGCTGCCTTGGGTGACTGCCTCACTCTGTTTGTTGGTATGGCCCTGGATCTGAGTGGTTCAGCTTTGCAGTGGAGTCCACAAAAGCACCTAGTCCACTAAGAAAGGTTACTGGTCCTTCTGTGCCCCCCCCCCATTGTGTTAGTTGAAAAAAGCAGCAACCAAATCTGTTCCAGTTCACTAAGCCTTCTTTCTCTGTATATCTGCAGTATCCCGAGGAATTGACAAATGGCTATTTACAAATCTAGTATAGTCAGAGAATGGCCAGTATATAAAGTAGTTGCTTAAGTAGATGGAAAGTGTCAACCTCTCCTGGTCCTGCAGTATCTACAGTCCTCCTCCTCCTCCTCCTCCTCTTCTTCTTCCTGAAAAAAACTGGAATAAAAGTTGATCTGAACTCAGCAAGCAAACAAATACTGGTGGTCAGAAGGGTTCAAAAAGTGTCTAGTATAGTCAGAGAATGGCCAGTATATAAAGTAGTTGCTTAAGTAGATGGAAAGTGTCAACCTCTCCTGGTCCTGCAGTATCTACAGTCCTCCTCCTCCTCCTCCTCCTCTTCTTCTTCCTGAAAAAAACTGGAATAAAAGTTGATCTGAACTCAGCAAGCAAACAAATACTGGTGGTCAGAAGGGTTCAAAAAGTGTGGCTATCCACTGGTGCTGAATCATAAAAAAGGCTCAGAGATCCTTTCTTTTGCAGGGTATCAACCTGAGCGGAGGCCAGAAGCAACGTGTCAGCCTGGCTAGAGCTGTTTATAACAATGCAGACATTTATGTGCTGGATGATCCCCTCTCTGCTGTTGATTCCCATGTAGGGCGACACATTTTTAACCAAGTCCTGGGACCAGAGGGGCTATTACATGACAAGGTGAGTCCTTGACTTTCCTTGTCTTGGGGCACACAGATGGAAAATGTATTATATTTATTATTGTTTCAAGAAAAACAAAACCCACACACAAAACCAATCAGTGCAAGGAATTGTTACTGACTAAAGTACTTGTAAACTAGCTCCAAAAGGAACTGTTGGCTGCTGCAATATTCCATTATTTGTTTCGGAACTAGTCTTCTATCAATATCAGCTTTAGGGATGTGCCTTTCTTGTTTTTGTTATTTATGCAAACTCCCAGAATTCTCTAGGCAGAATTCGAAGAATTCCAGTTCACAGACTTGCACATAACAGACACCTACATTGCACTCACCTGGACCAGTGCCTAGTGCTGAGCCTGTATGGCTCAGCTTCTGCCTTGCTTGCTATTGAGACTGTCCCAAAAAGAAAGCTGCTGCATTGCTTCCTGGGACTGGTAGTCTCACTGTCCTTTAGACTCTATAGAGGGCAGCTCTTGAAGAACTACCACTCCCAGGAAGTACTACAGTAGCTTTTATTTGCACATCTACAATAGGAAGTGAGACCTGAGCTTAGCCAGGCATTCTGAGAGCACAAAAATAAACAGTGAGAATGCCAGAAAAGCCTCAAGTAGGCACACTGTAACACAGATGCAACAAGTAAAAAGACCCAGCCTGTCAAGCAGAGACCAAAGTTCGGATGGCTGGGGCAGAATGGATACATTCAAACAGAGACATCAGCTGTGATACTTGTGAGAGGAAATGGTACTTAAGAGATGCTGATACCAGGGCTTTAAAAAGAAAACCAGCACTTTTGAGGCCATAAATTAACAGACAACTGCATAAGTGAGGCAGAACTGGGTGATGTGCTCCTTTCAGTCCCCAGATAATTAACTAGGAAGAATGTGAGTGCCAGGATTTTGAATTTAGCTGAAAGAAAATATGGAGCCTGTTGGGAGCAGCTTCAAGCGTCTGAACTCTGCCTTTAGAAGAAGCAGTACTTGTTTTTAAAGCATGCAATAATAGAAATTTAGAAGAATTGGTTTAGATTACTAAAATGGGTCCTTTGTAAAAATGAGACCATGGAGGAGAGGAGGTGCTGTGTAGAACCTGTACTTGTAATGACAACTCCAGGATCTAGTGTGTGTAGGGGTGCCATCTTAATGCTGTCCCCTGAAGACACTGTGCTGTTTTATGCTACAGACCCGGATCCTGGTGACGCATAACCTGAACTTCCTGTCACAAGTAGATGACATTGTGGTGTTGGTGGATGGAGCTATCTCAGAACAAGGTTCTTATAACACCTTGCTGGCAAATGGTGAGGAATTCGCTCAGCTGCTCAACACCTATGGAAGCCAGCAGGAAGGCACACCTGAAGAGGAACCCACAGGTGAGTAGGGTTGCAGAACATTTGAGATCAAGGAACACTGCTCAAGGGCACCTTTCAGGATGCAGTTCACTATGGAGTGATGCCACCACGACACCTTCAACATTCCCAGTCTTCTCTGGTTTCAGAAGCTAAGTACAGTGGACCCTCGACTTTCAGACGGCTCCACTTACAGACTTTTCAAGTTAAAGACTTCTCTGGCTGCAAAATTTAGGTTCGACTTGCAGCCAGAGAATCGACCTACAAACCGGAAAAGAAAACCAAAATGGAACAAAAATGGCCGGTTACGGATTAATCAGTTTTCAATGAATTGTAGGTCAATGGAGATTCGACCTACAGACTTTTCGACCTGCAGCTACCATTCCAATACGGATTAATTCCGTAATTCGAGGGTCCACTGTAGTGTCATATCTGGTTGGTACTCCGATGGGAGTCTATGAGGAAATACCAGCTACTTTATTGGGGAGGGGCCATAGCTCAGTAGTCATAATGTACTTCACACTCAGAAGTATCTAGCTTCATTCCCCAATATCTCCAGGAATCCTGCAGAATCTCTAGAGAGCCACTGCTAGTGAGAGTTTAAATACTGGGCTAGGTGTACCAATGGTTTGACCCAGAATAAAGTAGCTTCCTGTGTTGTTATGAGTCCCACTGAGGTGGGTGTCGTTGAACGTGATGTAAGACTTCTGTGTTTCAAGATGTTTTTCTGAACAGCAAGGGGACAAATGGGCCTTATGGGATTCAGCAGGAGGAGGTGCATATAATATGGTAGCTCCTAGATTCACTCGCCTTGCTGCCATTTCTATCCCTCTGCTCCATCATCCCATGCTCTTCACTTTTTCTAGTGGGCCTAGAGGAGGACGTGGAACAGGATGATGAACCTGAAGCTGGAGCGGAAGAAGTGCCCACTGATGTGGTGACTATGATCCAAAAGAGTGAGGCCAGCATCCGGCGGAAAAACTTCAGCCGCAGGTCAGGGTCTTCCATGAACCTTCAGCCACTTTCTCCTCAAAGTGTCTTTCTTTGACCTTTCTTGTCCCCATTCAGTAGCCCTTTTCCATCCCCCCTCTTTGCCATCCCTGCCTCTCTTTTGTTGGCTACTTGTTTTGGAAATAGTTTAGGTGGCAGGCTGTTGGGTGGGTTTGGTGATGATGGGAAACAAGGCCCCTTCTTGCATTTTGAGGAAAACATTTATCCCTTTCTGTAGTGCCTTTTATGACAACAGTGTTGTATAGCAGTCACTGAGAGTGCCAGACTAGGACTTGAGAGATCCGGATTGACCCACAAAGTGTATTCAGTGAAATGGGGCTAGTCACTGTCTCTTAGCTTGACCTACCTCAGAGAGGTGCTGTGAGAATAAAATGAGGAAAAGGTGAGCTATGCCTTGAGCTCATGGGAGAAAACATGGTTTACTAATGTAACTACTACATAAATATGCTTCTCTTCTTCCCCTTTGCCCAAACAGCTAAACACACCTGGTCTCCCCCATACCCAGACACCCCATCGTCCCTATCCTTTTCGTATGAACACATTCAGTATTGCTTGCAGGATTCAGACCTCTTTTTGCACAGCAGATACTCTGTGAATTTGTCCACTTCCTTCCTGTCCTGCCCTCAGTGTTGCTGTGGCCCTTCCCTGTCCCTCATGCAGATATAGTGAGCCTTTCAGCTGCACCCCAGAGTCAGGAAGTGCCTTTGCTAATGTTCACCACTTCTCAGCTAAATGATACCAAGCTGACTAATACAGGAGATGCTGATGGCAAAGAAAATGGAGGCAAAACAGTGCACTCTTAGTCTGATACATGAAAGATTTCATTACTCTAATTAGGCATGTGCACTCTCTTGAGACAAATGTGTAAATGTGAACCAGATCAGAGGCATTTGTGCATTTCCAGCCAGAATAAGAACCCATGACATGAAGCAACCCCATCATGGATTCCTCATAATGAGTCCAGCATTCACCTGTCACAATTAGAAGTAGAGAAAGAGAAGGGAAAGCTAAGGAAGACAAAGGAAGGTAACTCTTTGCCTTATAAATAAACCTTCCTTGCCTTTTCTGCTCTTTGGTCAAATCATCAGTCTTGTGGCCACGGGACTATTAATTTCAGATCTAAGGAGCAGGAGAGGTTTATAGAAGAGACAAAGGATGGAACATGTAGAACAGTCATTCTCAACCAGAATCAGATGATTCCCTGCGGGGACCTGGCACATTTGAAGGGAGGCATAAAATGGAAACAATCCTTCACACACCACCTTATAAGGTTTGTTATGTGACTTATTCAATCCTGATATGACCTATCTTTCTTCCATACTGTGTTTATGGCCATGGGCAAAAAAAAGTTTAAGAATGGCTAGTGTAGAAGAATAGGCACCTTGCATTGCCCTTTTAAGAAAGGATCAAACATGACTGTGCCCATTGCCCTTTTATGTCCCTCACTCACTCCCTACCTTAGGAAACTAATTAGGACTTTCTCCTGGCAGCTGGAAAAAAGGAGGAAATAAAAATAACACTAACCATCCATCTTTGCAGAATTCTGCAGATACCCTTCTGTCCTGCCTGCATCATTCAATCCATGATTTGGTCTTGCCATTTACTTTATCCCCACATTTGTAGGAATAGGATCTAACGGAGAACTGAAAATGTACAAATACCTTAATGGATCTGGACAAGGCTTGGGTCAGAGTGCCATCAAAAGGGCATAAGGCAGGGCAACCCAGCAATTTATTTGGACACGTCAAACATTTTCTGCACATCCATAAATCCAATAATCTGTGAAGCTGAAGGGTGGTATAGGCCAAATGCAATGGGAGGAAAATACAGGAACTGTATCCCTTATCATTCTTCTCCTGTTCCTAGCCTCAGTAGCAGCAGTAACATGTCCCTCAAGAAGGCCCATCAAGAAAAGCAGAATGAGAATCCAACAACAGAGATAAAGGGACAGAAGCTCATTGACAAGGAAGTCATGGAAATTGGCAAGGTGAGGAGGAGCCAGATATATCTTCTGCTCATAATTGGAGCAGATCTAAAAAAAATTCTCAAAGAGATAAAAATGGAAACTATAGTGGGGATAGGGAACTTGTTGATCTCCAGTTAGGGTTGAGTTGATTTCCCATCATTTCAACTATGCTGTGCTGGCTGAGGCTGATGGGAGTTGCAGTCTTATGATATCAGGAGGGCCATCCATTTTCTATCTCTGGACTAAAGGAACTTTATCATATTGCTAAATGGAGACAACAGGAAAATCCCTTCCTATGAGGTGGGTGAAAGGGTCTCTTTAGCCGCTCAAAGGCCCTGTGTACCCATAAAAAGCCCACTCTCACTCTCTAGGGACATTGGAGGAAATTTGCCAATGAGCTGTTTTAGGTCAGGAGGAAAATTTAAAAAAACAAACAAACTAGAATTAACTACTGATCATAGCTCAGAGAACACTAAAAATCTGGCAGAATTGCCCTCTGTGCCCATAATTTGGCAAAGGAACCTTTTGAAAGTTACTTTTTATTTAATACCATGAGGAGGCATCTTCCAATATCCAGGCATGGAAATGTGTGGTTCCAGGACATATAGAAATTGCCCTTGTCTGTATTAACAGGAAAATAGGTGATAATACTTCAGCTCAGTGTGTGTAGTACTAATTTGTGCTGCTTGAATTCTCCTTCTGCCACAATCTGCTGCTCTGTGTAAGAGTTGTCTAATGTACATCCAAGGAGTAGCTCCGTCTGTCTGTCATAGTGACCTTCATTGGTTCTCTTTATTCCCCAATGAAGAGAGCTGGGGGCCATGTGTGTTTGACAGCAACCTTCTGCCCTGCAGGTGAAATTCATCATATATCTGCGATATTTGCAAGCTGTTGGTTGGTGTCTCTCGACAATCATCTTATTTTGCTACGTAGCACAAGCTGCAGCCAACGTGGGCTCCAACCTGTGGCTTAGTGAATGGACCGGCGATTCTTTAGTCTACCAGAATGAGACCTATCCAGCAGCCCTGCGTGACAAGCGGGTTGGAGTCTATGGAGCACTCGGTGTGACCCAAGGTAAGACTCCGTCCAGAAATGCAGAGTGATTAGGATCTGAAGTCTGAAAAGGGAGTGCCTCTGTGGGGTCTCTCTATCTGAGGTGGGATCCTGGAATATCAGGATTTCAACTCCTGTGAAGAGTGCCTGTGGATAGTGGAAGTTATATTCCACGGACGTGTCACCCTGTATGCATAGGAGAGGGAAGAGAATTGGGGATGGAGGTGTAGGGCATTCCTCCAGCTCACATGTTAATTCAAAATGCATAATAATGACATGAAAATTCTAAATGCCTTTAGAATTAAAAAAAATGGGCCAATAAATTTCTGAAGTACCAGAACTGAATGGAGCTTGCTGCCCTTTTACAGCAAAACATACTCCTGCTATTTTCATGTCAGCAGTACAATTTTGAGAGGAAGGAAATGATTTTGGAACTGCTCTTGTTAAATAATTGGGAGCCAGAAATCCATGTTCATCTACTTTAAATCAGCCAAAGATCTACCAGTAAATCCAGATTTGCCTTCTGAACACCTGTACTGTACATGTATTTCTTCTAGCTCTCTCCCTGCTGGCAGCAACCCTTTTTGCCGCTCATGGTGCTGTCCGAGCTTCCCGGGTGCTGCATGCAAGATTGCTCAGTAACATCCTCCATGTGCCTATGAGTTTCTTTGACACAACGCCTACTGGGCGCATCATAAACAGGTTTGCCAAGGTATGAAGTCATTCTTTCTGAAGTGTGCTAGTTCCCCAAATGTTCCCCTAAACTTTTTGGCTGTGAGAGGGGTTTGACTATGGAAGTGGGCAATCCTGAACAATCAGTCATGTTATATTTATGGCTGATGGTACTGGGATTATGTGAAGAATTTCTCCTTTTCATCTCACAGCCTAGTGCAACTTCCCACCCCCCAAACACACCTGGTGCCCTCTAGATGTTTTGGCCTTCAACTCCCAAAATTGCCTCCCTGCTGGCCATCTAGCTGGGATTGATGATCACTGCAGTTCAAAACACCTTGGAGAGCACTAACTTGGGGAAAGTGGCTTTTGTTGTCCAATTTGAGACTGAAAACTTCTTGCAGGAACTTGCCTGGGTTTTTGCATCTAGAACTGTGTAAGAGGGTTGCTTTGAATTTCTGGAGGTGGGTCACTATGGCCCCTAAATGTCACAGGGTGAGTTGCTTAGCTGTTTTACTTGGTCCAGATCTCCCTAATAATCTCCAAATGTTAACAGGTGAGAGAGTTAAAATTAGAAACTCTGAGTGAATTAAACATGGACCAAACAGAGGATGCTTGTTGGAAGCAGTTTAGAAGTATTTTGGCATTACCATGCAAGCCCAGTGACCATAGCCCTATGAAAGAGATGGATCTAAATGGGACACACCTCTCTCAGGCTGCATCTTGAAACACTCTTGTGCATAACCTGGCACCCCTGATCTCAGTTTATTCCAGTGCTGATTCCCGCCCGCCCCTCCCTCATTCTTTTTCCTTACAGGATATTTTCACTGTGGATGAGACTATTCCAATGTCATTCCGCTCCTGGCTGAACTGTTTCTTGGGAATTTTCAGTACTCTGTTGATCATCTGCCTGGCCACTCCTTATTTTGCTATTATCATGCTGCCTCTGGGGCTCATCTACTACTTTGTCCAAGTAAGTCAGTGCTCTCTCTTTTGGGAGAGGCCATTCCTGTTACTGACAAGTTATGTGCCTTCAGAAGTCCCACTAAAAACTTCAGGGCTGCAGTTCCAAGACCTACTTGCTTCTCTTGAACACTGCAAACCTACTGCAGTGAAATGAGGGACAGTAGCAGGCCACATATTCTTCTATAACGCCAAAAATGTATTTGCTGTTTTGAGAATGACGTAAAATTGTCAATGTAAAATGCACAGATACATTTCATTTCCTAAACAGACCTCAACAGATTGGTCTGATGGAGACACAACCTTGATTAGAGCTGTTGAAACCAGCATTAAGTGGGATTGGCTCTGTGTTGGATTTATAGCCAAAATAAATGCACAGATACATTTCATTTCCTAAACGGACCTCAACAGAGGTTGGAGACACAACCTTGCTTAGAGCTATTGAAACCAGCATTGTTAAGTGGGATTGGCTTTGTGTTGGATTTATAGCCAAAAATACTGACTTCATCCAACTTTCCTCTATACAATTTTCTGGCCAAGTTTGTTCCCCTGCTGCAGACTTTTTGATGAACAGAACATTGAAGAACAGATATGTGAAGCTTGGCTGTATAAGCAGGCAAATCTCACTTCACTGAAATCAAGCATTTAGCATTTCCTCTCATAAGGGAGACTCAGAAGTCCTTGTTTTTCAGATCTTTCCTCTACTGTCAGTTTCTACGGCATTTTGCCTATTCCTTCCAGTAGAGGAGCTTTTTCCTGCACCTGGTGCCCTCCAAACGGGTTGAACTGCATGTGGTTGTAGGGCTTGTACTGCAGCACCTCTGGCAGATACACCGGTGGCTCTAGAGCAAAGATGAGGGAACTCTGCATGTCCAGGAATCAACGGTGGCCTCTGGGTATCACTGATCTCCCTACAGCTCCTTAAACTGTTTTCTCTGAAGAGGTGATTGGGGTAGCGGGGAATTTAAACTGGGGAAGAGGATTAACTGTGGAGGAGGAGAGAAATACATCCCACCTTGAGCTCATTAGAAGAAAAACTAGATGTAAAGGTAACAAAATAACTATAAATAAATGTATGCATCTTAAATGAGCCAGTAGAGAACTAAGCTGTGCACTTTGTATGTTGTTGCATAAAATGTGGCTGTACTTTGCAGGCACTTTACAAGCTGTTGCATAGAACTGAATTGTGCACTTTGCAAGCTGTTGCATGATCCAGAGTGGGAGGGCTGCTTTGTAGATCCTCTCTCCCCACCCATTTCTGGAATGCTTTCCTAGGACATTCCCAAACTGGAATCCGTCCACAAAGATAGGAGGGGGGAAAAAAGATTCCTCACCACTGCATTAGAATTTCTGAAGCAGGGATGAAACACTTCCCTTGTTACTCCACAAGCAGTACATTAAAATCTCAAGGGGGGTGGCTGCCTTGTGAAGAGGAAGTGTAGTCGAGCCATCAGTATAGTGTGCAAGAGGCCTTGCCTCTGTTCATTCTGTATTGAATTTTTTTGTAACTATTTTGTATACATACACTTCTAGCACAAAGGGAAAGGAGACATTTGCCAAAATAACAACAACAACAAAAACAGTGTCCAGGAAGAAGACACAAAACCATTTTTGTCTGAGCACAAAATATCCTAGAAGCTGCAGGATGTCATCATGGTTTATCACTGAAAAAGCATCAGCAAAAATCTGAAAGGAGCAATAATTTTGGGAGGGAGAACAAGAGAACATTGTGTCCCCAATACTGGCCCGTTTCAGAGGTCTCTGTCCTGCCTGTGGATCTCACTGGTGCCTCTTTCTGTGCTTCTCCTCCTAGCGATTCTATGTGGCTACATCCCGTCAGCTGCGTCGTTTAGATTCTGTCACCCGGTCCCCCATCTATTCCCACTTCAGCGAGACAGTGACGGGTCTCTCTGTCATCCGGGCCTATGGCCACCAGGATCGATTCCTGAGACACAATGAGAAGATTGTGGACATAAACCAGAAGTCTGTGTACTCTTGGATAGTTTCTAACAGGTGAGGAGAATATGGTATGTACGGAAAGGCTCACTGTTTGTTGTAAGAAAGGTATGCTTCTCCTGTGGTACTTGAAAGACTACCTAGTTCCCTTTGAGAGAGGTGTTTGTGGTTTGTAGCTCACTTCTTCAAAGGCATCTTGCAATATGGGATATAGTCTGCAAAAGCCCAATGAAACTTGTGACTTTAAGGAGCCACAACACTCTTTGCTCTTGAAAACTGCTGAAGTGAAGTCATGTCCTGTATAATCTCCCTCCCCCTGATCTTAAATGGTACAGGCCAAGGACCAGATGCTTTAGCTTGCATTATCCACCTTGTTAACTCTCACCCTCTACAGGTGGCTGGCTGTGCGCCTAGAATTTGTGGGCAACCTGGTGGTTTTCTCTGCAGCACTACTGGCAGTCCTTGCCAAAGGTTCTTTGGACAGTGGCATGGTGGGACTCTCCATCTCCTCAGCTCTCAATGTGAGTGGCTAAAGCCACAGCTGGCCTACGGTGACTTTTATTTTTAATAGCTTTTATAAGCCAAGGGTGGGTCCAGACAAGCCTTCCCCCCCCCCTGCAATTGCTGTGTGATAGTGCAGTTGCAGCTACACTGCGGTAGAACAGCCCCTACCGCGGGCAAAGTTTTCTAGTCAGGTTATAAACATGACCAGTTTGGATTATCTGTTTTCATCCACTTGTGACCCTCTCTAGGTTAAAAACGATATTCACAAGTAAAATTGATAAGATCCTGTATGTGATGTAAGAACAAACTATAGCTGTAACCAGCATTGCTACAAGCACTCTTTTTAATGTTTTTCCCCATTATTATTTTTGGCAACTGTACGGCTTCAAATTGGTAATACAAAAAGATGCACAAATAAGATACTAAGATGGTGCTGAGGAGCAGTTGCTTCAAAATGTCAAGAGAAGGGTATACATGGTAACCAGAAAGGGGCAAAAAAAATGAGAACAGGACAGTGCCATCCACATGGATGACATCGTGTGAACAGAACATAAGTGAGTTACTCTCTGAAATTATATGAAGTCTGCATTCAGTGGGAATTCTGCTTATAATGGGAGAGCAGTTATTAATATTACAGGAATTACTCTGGAATTATCCCTAGTATAGTAGGATAAAGTTGGGGAAGAGGAACCTGTCCTTAGGAAGCTCAGAGACTTAGTCCCACAAAGAAAAGTCCTCTTATAGGAAGTGTTAGAAGTAGGGCTGTTCTTTAAAAGGGTTACAATGTCCATAGTTTCTATGACAAGCCACTAAGCCCTGTATATGTGGCATCCACCCTAAGAGTGGGACCATGAACAGAGAGGGCAAGAAAATAAGGGCTATTAAGGTGATACATCTACTTCTGCTATGCAGGTGACTCAGACATTGAACTGGCTGGTGCGGATGACTTCGGAGCTGGAGACCAACATTGTGGCTGTAGAGAGAATACATGAGTACACAGAGGTGGCCAATGAGGTACAGGGAATCACAAAGTTGTGATGAACAGCTGTCAAGATATATGGGGGGGAGGGGCGATATAAGATCCCAGTGCTATCTAGGAAAGGCCGCAATATGGTTTGAAGCCAATTCTTTTGGTGCTTCTTTCAGGCACCATGGGTGACAGCACAGAGACCACGCTCAGACTGGCCAAATAATGGAGAAATTAATTTCGTGGACTATCAGGTGCGGTATCGGCCTGAGCTGGAGCTAGTTCTTGATGGGATCAGCTGTGATATCAAGAGCACTGAGAAGGTGAGTAACAGGGGGAGGTAAACACAGCTTTGTGAAACCTTTTGGAAGGACTGGCCCAATAATTTGTCAAGAGGGGAAAAAACCCGGCCACCAAGCTTTTGCATGAGCCCTTTAGCTGAAACTCATTGTGACGTTTGCCCTTGTGGCCCCTCCTTGTTTTCCCCTCACAAAGGCTCACATCTTGTTTTCTTCTTGCTGTCACCAGTGGATTAATTCAATCCACAATATAAATGACGTTTGTCAGAACACTTGGCTTGTGAACAGAAACAGAACTTATTTATTGAAGTGAATCAGACTGAATATCAGAAGTTTCTCAGATACACATTAAACATAAGCAAATCATCACCAGTTCTCTCAGTACATATTTCTTTTCTCTTGCTATATTATTACCACCACCTCTATTTTCCTAACCAGTCTATCTCTCAGTATCTGTTCCCTCTCTCTCTGACTAACCAGCCCTATCTGACTCCGCCTTCTCCCGCCAAGCCTCATTAGCTGCTGACTCTCCCTCTCCAGTCCTCTCATAGGTTAATGCAAATCAGCTCATGAACATGAATAACATGAGTGATGTGGGAGATCGACAGTTATAATTGAGGATTACTAGCTAGTAGGCTACCCTGGAGCTCTGCAGCAAGAGCAAAAACTAGGGATATGAAATGGCTCATTTTTCTCGTATGTTCACCTTTTTAAGCCATATATTTTAAATGACTGGATAAATGAATCAAAAAGTAAATACAAGCACTGTCAGTTGCCTAATTCTTGGGATGTTGCCTCTTCAGATTGGCGTTGTGGGACGCACAGGGGCTGGAAAATCCTCGCTCACAAACTGCCTCTTCCGCATCCTGGAGGCAGCAGGGGGAAAGATTGTGATTGATGGGCTTGATATAGCAACACTGGGCCTTCATGACCTGCGCCAGAAGCTCACCATCATCCCACAGGTAAGAAGCCCTACGGATTTGAAGGCATTCAGGCTGGAATCTGGAATCTGGAGAAGGAAGTGGAGGGGGGTGCCTTTCCTTATTGACTTCATAATCCTAGCTCTCTTGGAGTCGACAATGAAGGAGTGCAGGTGCTGTCTTTTAACCCATAGCACAGTGCGACAAGGTAGCATCGAGAGAAAATGTATGGTCTGCAGGGCTCTCCTGAGAGTTTTACATCCCCAAAACAAATATGTATGCATTGCTTGTCTGCCAAATCTTTAGTGGAAGTATGACTTAGGCAGTTTGTCCACTGCTTTTGGCTGTCAAGATGGGGAAACAGATGAAGAATCCTACCAGCTTCAACCCAATCCATAGCCACCTTTTCCAAGCCAACGCTCTGTGTGCTGGGTTTAGCTAAAAGCAGGAAAGGTATAATGAAAGCCAATCATTCCTATCTCAGCTACTCAACTCACCTTAACAATTCTCCCTCCAAGTGTAGCTGTGTAAACATCTTGTATCCAAATCTGCAGGATCCTGTTCTCTTTTCTGGGAGCTTACGTATGAACTTGGACCCATTTGAGCAACACTCAGACAACGATGTTTGGCATGCTCTGGAGCTAGCACACCTAAAGTCTTTTGTGCAAAGCTTGCCTGAAGGATTGTCCTACCCAGTGAGTGAAGCAGGAGAGAATCTCAGGTACAAAATGCTAAAATTCTGATGAGCTTTTAAACTATTGCAATCACTTCCTTGGTCACATCTCTTCCATCTCCATTCCAGCCTGCCCAGACTCATGGAGAGTACATCAGTACTGCTTAGGCATGGGACTTTTTCTTCAACTTCAGTCCACAGAATTCAGCACAAATTTTCTCAGTCAGGACATTCAAAGTCCTCACAGGAGTTTTCAGTTAAAAACAAATGGAGAATGAATGTGCTGGCAGTTATTATTTGCATGTGAGGAAGAAAGAGGAAATAGCTTGGAAGAATTAAACTCTGTGGGAGCTGCAAGGGATTAGGTAGTTTTTAAGTGGTATCCTGTACAGAGGCTAATAGGCAGAGAGACTGCTTGTCCCCTAATCATTTGCAGGTCCCATAGAGCTTAGCTTTTCCCAACCATTCCCTCTGTCTTCTTCATATGCAGATAACGGCTGCTAGGGCTGTCATTCTCCACTGGTGTTTCACTAACAACTGTCAGGACTTTAATTTCTTGGCTAAAGCCCCCAGAATTCTGGATGCAGAAATTCCTGCTAAATTCTGGAACTTAAAGTCTAAGAAATACAAAAGTACTATATCTAATGGTGCTGATTTTTGTCTCAGTCCCCTTCCAATGGTTGCATTTATTTAACTAACAACATAGGTGACCACCATTCTTGTTCCCACAGTGTGGGGCAGAGGCAGCTTTTGTGTCTGGCACGGGCCCTCCTCCGTAAATCTAAAATCCTGATTCTGGATGAAGCAACAGCAGCAGTGGATATGGAAACTGATCACCTGATCCAACAGACAATCCGAAGCGAGTTTGCCGATTGCACTGTGCTCACCATTGCCCATCGGTTACACACCATCATGGACAGCCACAGGTAACTGGCAGGATCATATGTATGTGGAATTCTCTCCTTGTCTACACATGAAGTTTCAGGACTTCATGCTCTTGTAAAAACATGTTATCTCCAGCATCAAGTCAACAGTCATAGGATAGAAAATAGCTATCACTTAGGTGGAAAGATAGGGAGTGAGCAGTCATGTTCAGTAACTGCAGCACACTTCAGGATTACATTAAATCTTCTTTGAGCAAAAAGAAAGTTAGTGTGATCCTGTGCATGTTTAGTGACGAGGTCTATGGCACCCCGTGCATGCAGCTTTTATTTTCTGTAAAGTATATATTGGTTGCAGCCTTGGAACTGTAAACCCAGAAAGTTTGTGCTCCATTCAAAATGTCTGTGGCCAAAATCTTCTTGCCTACTTATCCTGGTGTAACACTAAGAGGCAAAGCTCTTAAAGTTAAAAAAAATCTCTGCAGACATTATTTGCTGCATACAAAGTTGTACAACTTGGCATGGATGCATGCAAATGATATCTACAGAGATTTCTTTCCTTGATACAATTCACCTCCAAAATCATATATTTGGTAAAGCTATGCAAGGGGATTCCCGGCTATATATGTTGAAATAGGACTCTGAATTAAAGCCAAGACTTCATATTTCTTTGCATGAAGGTTTTCAAGCCAATCATCTAAGAAGGGCAAATGGAGAAATTTAGGTTAAAATTGTTAAGAAACAAGTCAGTTGCTTGCTTAGGAGGCTAACAGATGCTTGAAAATCACAGCACAATCTGTTTAAGTCAAATCCTTTTCATCCCTGGGACAAGCAACCCATTCTTGTTATGTTTGCTTTTAGCCACAAACACATAAACAACAAAAAGAAATTTCCTAAAGCTTTTAACTATATTTGGTCGCTAAGAGATGACTGTAAACTGCTACAAAAGAAAATATGAGCTCATTAGATCTGTTTTATAACCACCAATGTTGTAGAAGTAGGAAAAACAGAGAATTAGAGAACACCAAACCTTTGACACTCATCTTGTGCCTCCCACTCAGCAGTAATTCAGCAGGAAAAAAATTCCTTGTGGTAGGTTGATGACATGGTAACATTAGCAGCTAGTTACAGAATCTCATACATAAATCTTGAATGTGCTAATAGGAAAATTGTTGTATTTAAACTTCAGATAAGGTAAGGTTCCATCCTCCCATGTCATTGTTTCCTATCAAAAGATGACAGTTGATTCCCATAATTTACCTAAATACTCTGCATGCCACTGTTCTTTCTCTTCGCCTCAGCCTGAGGAAGAGGCAAACAGGCAGTCCTGAAAGCAGCAAAATCAGGGAGCTGGACAGGGGACAGATTGTATTTGTCTTCAGTGTGGAAGGGATTGTCACTCTTGAATTGGCCTTCTCAGCCACACTAGATGGTGTTCCAAGACCTCTATTCAGAGCATGTTACCATAGTCTCTCGAGACTGAAGGATGCCTACACTTACTGTTCTTCCTACTGACCTCACATTCTCATGGGCCAATGTCAGAACTGCTAGAATTAGACACTGCACTATGGCAAAAAGGATTGGAAGACTTCCTTGTATACTCCAATCCAACTGCATAAAATGGTAACACTGTTGTTGGAAGGGCAGGCATCTCAGGGACATGTGTTACTCTAGCAACACATCTCCTTTCCCTTCATTCCATGTGTTAGTACTCCTCCGCTGATGCATAGAGTTGTGCCTTAACTGCCTTATCGGTATTTGCTCCAGAAAGTGCAGAGGGTTCTGACTGCAGGAGGTAATCCATCTTTTTCCAGTTACCAAATTGAAAGGCTATGGATGGCTGTGTGTGTGTGTGTGTGTGTAAATGAGCACAAGCTCTTGTACTACAACTGAGATTTCTTTTTACTCCAGGGTGATGGTTCTCCAATCAGGAAGAATTGTGGAATTTGACAGCCCTCAGACGCTGCTTCAACAGCAAAGCATATTTGCAGGAATGGCAAAGGACGCTGGCATTCTGGGCACTTTGAACACTGCACTGTAGAGCAGGAGGAAGAAGGCTGGTGCCCCTGTGTTGCTGGAATCTTGTTGCAGCTATTCTGGACCTGCCATTAATCCATGTGACTTATCTATGCTGGCAATGCCACTGTGCACCTCTAGAGACGCTCCCCTGCTAGAGTATAACACCTGCCTTGTTATACTCCTAGCTCTGCACCCAAAGTGTTGCCTGCAAGCCCAACCTGGTTCTGCTTGAAGGGATACAGTTTTACTCTCATTCCTACCCCAGTAAGTGAGTCCGATCAGGGTGTGCTCTAGCCCCTCTTGCAGCTCCTCTGGTTCAGGATCCACATCACATGTTCCTAAATCACCTGAAAATATGTATTTTTTACAGTGTCTATTTCTCTGTGACAGGAGAAGATGAAACAACCAGACATTGCATCTCTGCTGCTCTGTGATATACACAATAATCTAGCCCAGGGGTCTCCAAACTATGGCCTGCGGGCCACATCCAGCCCACCTTGTCTTTTTATCCAGTGCAGGAGTGCGCATGTGCACGTCTTCCTTCGGCCCTTGAAAATGTGAAGCAAACATGATGTGGCCCTCCCGCTGCTACCCCACCCCTAACATTCATCTGGGTGATAACTGAAAAGGCTGGGTTTAAATACTACACAAGAACTGAATATCACTTTCTGCACTGAAAAACACTGTAAAATTTTAAATTAATAAATATTTAGGGGACCCTGTCCAGAGCAATACCCCTCTTCATACCTTTTTTTTATGCCTGCTGCTTTGGCTACTAAGTATTTTAAGATTCCTCCCCGCCTCCCAGGTAGACTGAGCAGTATCGGAAAATATACATTTTTCTTCATCACAAATATGATGAGAGCCATCACCCAACAACAGATACGAAGGGCACAAGCTCAGAGAGGACTATGACTAGATGGACTAAACCTTCTTGTGCAGTGTCCAATCATAAAATGACAGGCAGAAAGTTTTCAGAATGCTTGCTTTTAGAAACATGACATTTGACCCTGTAGGGTAAAGGAAGCCTTTTTTTAAAACTTGGGCAAGATTCCTTATGCTGTATTATTGCTCGCAACCAGCTGCTAGGGTTTTTAAAAAACAAACATTGCTCCTAACGTCATCTGCGTTGATGCACTGAAGCTCAGGAAATGTGCTTATAACGCAAGAAGTGACAATGCAAACAACTGGACACCTTTCTGTATCAAAACAAGAAACTTCAGAAAGAGCAATTTTATTTACAAAACAGCAGCTACGGAGTATCAGGAGGAAAATGCCACCCTTACACTGTGCTCCATTCCTTGGAGCGGAATACCTCCCCCATGATTTGAACTGGTGCTCAGGGCACAATCCCATTCCAGCATTCCCTTCATTCTGCAACACTGCAGCATCTAAGGTCAGCATCAGGCCCCTTTGAAGCTGAGCAAAGGAGCACTTTAGCAGTAACTGATGCCAATTAACACTGAGACAAAAGGAGACTCTGTGGTGGCCCTCTCCATCTTTCCTTTTCCATGGGTAGTATCCTGCAACCTCACACATGGTGCTACTCTCTGTACAAAAACAGACTTCTGTTGGACCCTGCATGTAACAAGAATGTATGTTGTGCCTCCAGTAAATGTGTCACGGAGAACAGATCTATTACCAGCAAGTTGCTGTGATTCCTAAGGGGAACCTGTCGGTTCAGAACAGAGCTTGGGGAAATTTGAACTTCAAGAACTCCTCAGCTCCCACAGTCACAGCCTCCCAGAGGATTCTGGGAAATGTAGTCCAAAAAAGGAGCACTGCCAAGCTCTGGAAAAGGAACTACAGTATATATCTCCAATTCCAGTTGCTGGGAAAGAAAAGGCAGGAGGAAGCTACAGGCTCCATGACCCCTTCAACGGGCTCCTCAGCAATCTGGGCTGATCACTTTGGGAAACAAAATGCTGGTCCAGCAAAGCTCTTTGTTGTGTTCCGATTTGGCCCCTGTGACTCAAGACCCCAGTTACCATTGGCTAGATGCCTCTCTCTTCTTCTTTAAAGAGGATTAAACACCTCCTTCAAGGGGGAAAGAAATTCACACAGCACTCCCCCTCAGGCCAGGCAGTCTGGCCTCATAAGATAAACAGTAGGATGCCAACGGGGCCACCTCATTGCAACATCATGGAAATCGTGGCCAGGCTCTCCACCAAATATATCCAAATCTGAGCCATCAGGGAGGACAGGGCCGTGGGGCACAGCAAGACTTCCCCTCCTCTGTCCAGTTCTGAAAGTGATTAAGGCACCAAGTTTTGGCCCTGCCACAAACACACACACATTTCACGTGTACTCAGTCTTCCGAATGTAACTGGATGGCACATAGCCCCGTCTTCCATGTGCCTCTGCCAACCACCACTCCTGGTTGCCAGTGATATCTTCAAACTGCAGGATCTTTAGTCTTTGATTGGCTGTTACACTCAGTTCATTTGAGTTCCGGCCCTTGAAGGTGTAAACAGCATAATAAACCTGGCAGCAGGAGGGGAAAAAGCAGGGAAGGAGTTCAGTGGCAAGGAACAAAGAAACTCCAACCCACCAGCTACAGCCCTACAGAATGTCCCACCCACCCACCCAACATACTGTTGTTTCATAGCAATCTGCTATGGGAATTTGTTTAGAAGTGGAGAAGATACTCCAAAATTAGAACCCACAATAACTAACAGAAAACAAATAGAACACACAGAATGTAAAGCAGAGATCATTAAACATTAAGACATATCAAAAATTGGAAAATAGCCCCTTCTACAGACATCTCAGTTGAACTGCATAAAAGCATATCTGAATAAAAGGTTCTCTGCCTACTGATAGAAGAAAAATAAAACTTCTTGTGATAGCTGTGCTGAATTAGATTTAATGGAATCTGTCCTCAAATACTTCAATTACACTTATTCTGAAAACACACCTTGGCTGAACAAAGTAGTCAGCCACCTTAGAAATGACCCATCACTAGACACAGGCTCACAAACTTGATGCAATTCACATGTTTTTTTCTCTCACACAACCATGAGAGAACCTGTACCCTCAAAAGTACATGCTTCAGCAATCAAACTTGCAAATTAAGCCCATATTTAGCACACTAAATGCAAGATAGCATTAGATTAGGCATCCTTCAGTCTCGAGAGACTTTGATAAGCACAGATGATTGAGGATAATCATGTGCTCTGACAGACAGAAGTTGAAAGGTGCCTCTTTTAAATGCGTTAAACAAAATGATCAAAAGATCAATGTCACATACTACTCCACTCACCTGGTTTCCTTTGCACTCACTGCTCTTCAGCCTAGAGCTGCCATCCACTGAAGGGGCTGCTCGCGCCTTAGGCCGAGGTGGGTGTCCATTGCGAGGATCAGGGTTACTGTATCGCCGGGATGCTAGAACCAAACTGGGGGCCTGCACAGATGCTACAGTGGTGCCTGCCTGGGTCTGCGAGGCCAAATCCCCGTCAGAGGGGGCTTGAAGAGAATCTGCTGAATCCCTTTGGAAGCCAGAGGCTGCTGGAGGTTTATGTGCGCTGATGGTAGAGACACTGCTCAGGACACTACCTGGTGTACTGCTGCCCCGGGAGGAGGAAGAGCCACTGTGCTCAGATTCACTCGAGGAATGGCTGCCCACAGAGGCATCGGAGTGGCTGCATCGTGGGTTATAAGGTTTCAGGAAGGAACTGTACACAAAGCCTTTTGTTACTGTGGGGGAAGAAGAGAGAAATATCATAGATAACAAGCACCATGGAGATGAGGACAGCTCCCAGCCAAGAGGATTTATCCAGGAGCTAGACAGATTTCCACCAGAGCTTGAAAAAGCTACTTTTTGGACTACAACTCCCAGAGCGGTGATGCCAAACAGGAGATACATGCTAGCCAAAGGAAGTTCTGACTTTTACTCACCTCCATTGTCTATGAGCCAGCGATTCTGGCTCCCCATGGGATCCTTCTTTTTGAGGACACCCACTAGGTCACCCTCCAGGAGCGACACATCCAGCTCTTGAGCTGCGTTGAAATTGCGCTCAGCCTGGAAGAGCTTATCAGGGGGGTACCGGGCCAGTAGGGCTGCACGCAGGTCATCTGACTGCAGCATGTAGCTGGGCTGCAAGGGAAACAGCAGCACCCATGAATGAAGGGAAGAGAGTATAGTCTCATCCTTGCCCCCCACCCCACCCCACCAACCAGCAGCGTTCTTCTCAACTGATGCTTGTCATCCTTACCTTCTAAGCAAGGTCCCTCCATTGTCTCTTCTACGCAAGGTTCCATGAATGCATCAAGCCCAGGCTGCTTCTCACCTTCCTTCCACCCACCCCAGCTCACTCTGATGGCCAATGCTCCAGTGCCACCTGACAGCTTTCCAGCTCTTGCTGCTCACCATGCCCAGAAGTGGTTGCCTCCGTGCTGACTGGCGCTCTAGGCTCTTCCTCTCAAAAGGCCTTTTGGCAGCAAGGGTGTTCTCTGGGAAGAAGGTGAAGACCTGCAGCTGCTGAAGGACCCGGCTGTGCTCTTCCTGAAAGACGGCAACAAGATTCCCCTCTCTGCCAACCACCTTCAGTAGCTAGGAAAGAGGAGGGCAGCATGGGCATGAGTGCAGAAGATGCACGGAGCCAGCCAAAGGTCAACCGATGACATTCTGCTCAAAAACAGACCAGGGTGGAACCCCCATAATCCATGTAGGTGAGGGATGAGGACTGTTGGCCCTCCAATGGCTGTTGGACTCCCCTGATCCCTTGCCACTGGCAATGCTGACTAGAGCAGAGGGGAGTTGTAATCTGAGCTCATGCCTTTCCCAATCTAGATGCAGGATAAACCCAAAGAGTACTTGCTCATTCTCCACAGCTGGATCTTAGATCAGTGCTGGGGAATCTTTGGACCTCCTGACAATACGGACGTTGACTCCCATCATCCAAGACAACATGGCCCACAGGAAGGGATCCTGGGCATTATAACCCATCATTTGAAGGGCCAAAGTTTCCCTCAGTCCTATCCTAGATCCACCTTTTCACCTGAAGGCATGTGCTGTTTCAGAGGATCTGAAATTCAGAGGGAGAAACCAGACTGTATGCAAAGGGGAGCAAGCTTTATCTTCAGGATGAAACTCTGCTAAGCGACTACCAGACAGTGCAGACCACAGGTGTGCAAAAGGGGGCACACCCATTTTCCCCAAAAGGAAAAAAAGTGAACTGCTTCTCCTGGAAGCCTCCAGGAGTGGTAAGTTACATGTTAAACAGTTCACAGTACAATCCAACAGCAGCTAGAGAAAGGGCCAAACATGGCTTCTTGTTCATGAACAAATATACACCTTTTTCTTCTCCACACCAATGGGTGAAAATATTCAGCGAAAATATGAAATAAAGCTGACAGGAGGCAGGGGAAATGAAACACCCCAAAACGCTCTTCCTCTTCTCTGTTCCCACTCTATATGAAAACCAGCCATTGTCAGCCTGGGCTGGTGCTTCGTCACACACTCCGCACACTTACTGAGAGCAGAGGTTTCAGTTCCTGCAGTGCCAGGCGTACAAAGTCACAGTGGGCCTTGGCATAGCCACGCAGACAGCTGGTGAAAAGCTGCTTCGCGCAGCACTGGAATTTCGGCAGTTCATCCAGCAGCTGCATATTCAAGGCCTCATACGTGTTGCGTGCCGATTGTAACTCTTCCAGGGTCCGTTTGTCTTTCAGCCTCTCAGCACGCTCTGTGCAAGTGTGGAAGTCCAGGAGCTTGTCAAAACGTTTTTGCACCAGTTTGTGAGGGCCAGCAAACATGTTCAGCAGCTGATTCAGAGGAGAGATCACCAGCCGCTCTGTCCGTTCTTTCTACAAGACATAAGGGAACAATCAGGCCATATAAGAGACTTTTCGAGGCCTCCATATATCTGTGTCAAGTTATTCACTTGTTTTATTTGGTATAGGTAAACTTTGGGGAAACAAAGTACAGAGAAATAAGAATTTTTCTCAGCTCTCTTTAGAAAATTCCTCCTTCAAAAAACCCACAAAAAATTCAGTTATTCTACCAAGACAGAAGGGCAACTCCTTTTTCCAGCACCACATTGGCCATCTTTCAAAAGAAAGACTTTCCTTGCTGTAGTTCATCTATGCTCAATGCCCTGAACTCAAGATCTTCTCCAGATGGGACTTCATCATCCTCACTGCCCAACTTCACACCAAAATCAGTTTTGGTTCAGCCTTCCCCAAACTGGTGCCATCAGAAATCCCCAACTATAGTTCTTATCTTACTTGGCCAGCACTGCCCAACACCAGTCATGAAGGGCTTTTTTTTTTTTTGTCCAAACATTGGGAACACATCAGTTTAGGAAGGCAAGCATTCCATTAACAGAAATGGCTCTTCATCATCCTCACTGCCCAACTTCACACCAAAATCAGTTTTGGTTCAGCCTTCCCCAAACTGGTGCCATCAGAAATCCCCAACTATAGTTCTTTTCTTACTTGGCCAGCACTGCCCAACACCAGTCGTGAAGGGCTTTTTTTTGGCCAAACATTGGGAACACATCAGTTTAGAAAGGCAAGCATTCCATTAACAGAAATGGTACCCAGAAGGAAATGCTCACCAGAGTCATATGCACGTGAAAGACAGAAAAACAGAGGCCTGACTTACAAAATCTGAGAACAGCTGATCACTGATAAGACGATGGACCTTCTGGAACTGCTCCAACTCAGCACTGCCTTTCTCCATGCACAGGTCCCACATACTCAGTGCTGCCGTCACTTTCACACAGGCTGATTCCTGAGGGTCAAAAGACAAAGATATTAGCTGACTGTCAGGAATTCAGAACCCTTGCCAAGGCCAAGGCAAAGCCAGCTTCCACAAGCAGAGAATAACACCCTGTTTCCCCGGAATTCAGAACCCTTGCCAAGGCCAAGGCCAAGCCAGCTTCCACAAGCAGAGAATAATACCCTGTTTCCCTGAATCCTAGTAGGATTTTTCAGGATGCTCGTAATATAAGCCCTACCCCAAAAATAAGCCCGCGAAGTGAAACCCTGCCTCAAGCCCTACCCCAAAAATAAGCCCGTGAAGTGAAACCCTGCCTCCCACTATTGTGTAGCAACCAGAAGATGACATGACTGTATTTGAATAAATGTAGATTGTTAAACATGAAAAAAAATCCCCTGAAAATAAGCCTTAATGCATTTTTGGAGCAAAAATTAATATAAGTCCCTGTCTTATTTTCAGGGAAACAGGGTAATAATCTTAAAACTGCAGAGCTAGAATGGAACCTATAGATCACTGAGTCCAGCCCATCATGGAGGCACAGTGGAGAACTCAACTCCCAACCTCTGGCTCTGCAACCAGGTACTTAAACCACTGAACGATGCAGCAGTAGTGGCAAGACCCATGCCTAGCCCTGCTAAATCATTGTTCAGGCCAGCCCTCAACCCCACTGGATTGCTGAGTCTCCAGTGCTTCACATATTTGCCCCAAATTGATCCCTTTATTCACCCGGACATGCTGAAGATAAAGGGAAAGGTCCCGGATGAAAGATTTAATCAGCCGTTCTTGCATCCGGAAATTTTTCTCTGTCTCCTCAAAAGCCTCATCCTTGAGCTGCAACAGAAAAAGAGAAGGCGTCAACAGAATTGATGGTGTCTAAAGCCCTACATCACTTAGGGCAGCACATACATACGCCTTCTGATAGTGTTCGATTGCAACTCCTATTAGGCCTTGGCAGTGCAAAGTTCAAGGGTGACCGGAGTGGCAGCACAACAACATCTGGAGTGGCACAAGTTGCCCAACCTCAGTCCACAGGCACGTGAGCAGGGTTAGTGTCTACTCACTTGTGGTGCAAAACCCGTGAGGTGCTTGAGGTGGCTGCTGACACGATTGGACTTCTTGATAATGGAGTGGAAGTTGAGTTTGGAGATCTTCTCGATGAGACTGTCATCATCTGTCTTCCTATACTTCAGCACTGAAAGAAATTGTGCCAAGAGTGACGGTCAGCGTGTGCATTAAACAGCAGCCATTTCCCCAAAGCCTCTGCTCCTCGGAGTGATTTCCTGCTCAGTCCAGGCAGAATCCTTTGCTGCAGCTTTCTTTACAAACAAGACCAGCATCACCAAAGGCAAGGGGACATAGCCGGCCTCTGGCACAGACGGGAGGGCCTGTCCCTTTGTACATGGACAGCAACTGGATTGGTCATCCTGCTAATCAATGAGACTGGGTTTAATTAACTCTTAAATGAAAGATATTTAAATAAGTAAGTACTCAAATATTTTATGGCGTTCAGTGGGTATTTTGAAATAGGATTTTACTGTAACCAATTTCACTTACAATTATTTAGAGGTTTTCCACTTTGGAATATACATATACATTATTATTTGCAGCCTTTCACAAAGTCCTACTTTGCCACTTCGTCAAAGCAAGGAGGTGATGCTCAGCTTTTGAAGGTTTTCCTTTCGTAATATGAGTTCTCAGGTATTCTGCCAAGTAAGCAAGGTTCTGAACATGGCCCTGGGGGCAGACTGTGTGCCTGCTGCCTAAGAACCATTCTAGCTAAGGAGAGAGAGGCCTTGTCACCAGAAGGTAGGTAACAAATGTGGTAACAAACTGGCCACAACAACTGTGAATCCAATGACAGTGTGAAATAGTTGCCGTTGTTGAATTGATGAAAACATGGACCTTCAAGGCATTATTGTAATAACAAGTTTGTTGAACTGTATTGTTTTTCTGCAGGAGGAATTTTGGGAAGACTATAGTCTTCAGAGGGCAATTAAGAAAATAAGTGAGCGCTTTATGTGCTTTTACTTCTGTTATCCATGAGGAGGTGCTTCACTTTTTTCTAGGAGCTTTGTCACAACAGTCTGACACCAGCCTGGTATAGAACGAACAGAACTAGCCTGGTACACAACCATCCTCCATATGAGGTAACCCACTCCCTCACTAAGGGGTGCTCTCGTTTGCTTTTCTGCTTTCTTACACGGTTGGTCTGATTATCCCAAGTAGGTGTTTGCATTCCTCCTGCCTCATCCAAAGAGACAGGGAAAGTTACTTTTTCCTTCTCTGTGGATGACATGTTGGCCCCTGGGACCACTGGGCGCTATTGTTCAAAAAGTAGCTCTTCCCACCTCTACTCCTTCCCTTGCCTGAGGCTTGCATGTCTCTTGCCCCAGAAATGCTCACCGAGGTCCTTTCTCCGTTTGCACTCATTGATGTTGCCATTGATCTCCTTGACAGCCAGAACAGCAGTTGCCAACGGAGCACGATCAGGATGAGACTCAGGGGTGGCACTCAGGAGCTCCATCAGCAGCAGTGGGTAGCGCATCACACGCTGAACAGGCTTGATCAGGAAGGAACCCAGGTCAATGTAATTGGTGCATCCCCTGTTAAAGGCAGGGGATGTGAGCACACAAAGGGATCACGTGGAACTATGGGCTCATACACCCTTCATCAATCGACTGGGTCCCACCCCACAAGCACAGCATCACAGGGAATCATGCCCACTTTCAAGCCAACCTTCATCCAAACACCAAACCAATGCATGCAAGTAACTCCATCCCATTCCATGAAGCTGCTGTTTCCCTCCCACGTAATATGGTACTGTATTTCTATATTAAATAACATAGTGCCAGCAATGCCATTCACCCCACTATTAGCGAAATCCCCCCGGCATTCATATTTCTCTCTCAAACAAAAAAAATACATACACTCAGTTAGCCTCACCCTCCTTAAGATACCAAAAATGCCCCATTCAGCTTGTTTCTGAATCTAAACAAGCAGGTATCTCCATTCATGGAAGAAACACATACACATCAGTGGTTCCTCACCCCAGTTCATGTCAAAACAAGGGCACACAGATATGTGCCCATCTTCTCTGTATCATTCAGTAATATTTGAACCCAATTATGTCCTGGTCTGTGATGGTATTTGTGCGTTTCTAGATCTCTGTGAAAGATCTCATTTCCATGAATGGAGAGAATGCAAATGGCTACAATCCAGACTGGAGAGGCTACAAAGTGCCATCAATTTCAGGGACGTGGAGGACAGGAGGATTTTACTTCTGCGCATAAGCACACTTCCAGCACTTGTGCAAAAGCTAGCAGGCGAAAGGGAAGGGAAGGGGGGGGGGAGGGAGGGAGGAAGGGGTGCAAGTATTCATCCCACAATCTCTCTCTCTCTCTCAAACACACACTCCCAATCCTAGTAGTAAACTGTTTAGCAAGCTAAGATAGATAAGAATTTTAAAAAAAATCTAGAATACAAATCCTGCCTAACAATGACAGCACAAGTCTCTGGCTTTGCTCTACACCCATGGAAAAGGGGCAGCAAAGTATTTGTAAGAAGATACACAGTGGTTGGAGCATCCAGGGGCTTTATTGGGAATGGGATCAGCTGGCATTTACTCTCCATTTGGTGCCCAGTTTTTTTTCAACTTCCATTCTCCCAGTTCAAACCTCTGGGAGGCTTTGCTTCGAAACAATTAACTCCATGAATGCCGGGTGAAACACAAAAGATCTGTGGGGTGTTGCTCCACCTTGCGGGAAAACCAGCAGGTTCTGGCTCCACCCTGCAGTCACCCCTATTTCAGCCGGGCTTTGCCTTTTTGTCTGGCTATTTCCACATTCCTAATACATAGCATCTCCAGACTGCTCTGTTACTTTATTATAGATACACACACATAAAAAAAGGCCAATGATATAAAGATTGCTTACCATTCACTGTACAGATTCCTGGAGCCCAAAAACAGGGATAAATAAAACAAGAAGACAAAACAATTTATTAAGATATTAAGACTGCTTGCTAGCATCTCTGTCCCTGCAAGCTACTAAGAAACAATGTAAGCTATATCTTAGACAAGGGGTAAGAAACTAGAACTCATAAAAGTTCTGTTCTTGGAGTACAGCTCTCAGAATCTCCATCCAGCTTGGCTGTTGGCAATGGTGGACCTTGAGATTCTACAGACTAGTTTTTCCTACCACCCCTTATAAATGTGATTGCTTACTCTGGTGATTCCCAAACTGTGTGCTGAGGAACTACCCAACCCAGCCTGTGGCGCTGACGAGGGGGAAAAAATGGAACTACAACTCAGCCTGGGCTCTACCTGCTCCCTTCTTCCCCTCCCATAAAGTACTGTATTGGGTAGCCACAGCCAGTGGCAAGTAAGTCAAGGGAACTGTGACTTGAAAATGTTTGGGAACCACTGGCTTTCTCAATACAGGGGGTACTTGCCGTTACTATGCTAGGAAGAAACATATATATGTGGGGTGGTGTCTCTAATTCTCTCCCAGCCCGAACCACTGCAGTTTGCCCCAAAGCAAGTATGATGTTCCCACCCCAAATGGAAAAGATTAAGCTATCTGTGAGAACTGAGTGGTGGGCTCTGGAGGTGCCCTCTCACCTGAGGACTTCCAGAGACTCCAGCAGAAGCTTTTGCACTCTCTCATCCTTCTCATATGCCTCTAGCAGCGCAATGGCCTCATCATGGTTTTGGCAATACATTTTGTACACAGCCTCCAGCTCAGCCTGAAGTGTCAGGAATGTTGGTCCTTAGTAGAGGTGGCAAAGGATTAGTGTAAGCGAAGAACTGAATACATTAAATGTGGCCATTTCTCTCCAGCGAAATGAAAAAAGCAGATTTCTTTCTCCTTTGGTTGCTCACTTCCTAAAAATGTCTTCTGAGTGACATAGAACAATCCTCATCATAGATACACAACCTACAGACCTGCCAGTTCAGACTGCTAGAGGGGAACCCCAAATAAGGACAAAAGTGAAAGCCTTGCACGAATAGACCAAACATTCACCTTGTTTTGAATCCTGCCTCCACCAGAAAGAAACAAAAGAAGAAGCCTACTTGACAAAGGGATTGCATCTAGGCCTACATTACTATATAGATTGCTTAGACCCACTGTTTTCAATGCGCTTAAGCACATACTCCACCAGCACAGGAACAAACTGCTGGTTAGCCAAGCAACTGACTGCTCTTCTCTAGTCCAGTTGTATAGAATTGTGAGGAACATTACAACTGGAGACTCTAGCTACTGTAATTCTCCAGAACAGTTCTCAATGTTTGATCATCCAGATGTTTTTAGTTACAACCACATAGAATCCCTGACCATCAGCCATGCTGGCCATGGGTACTAGGACCTCCATGGGTACTAGGACCTCCAAAAAACTCTAAAGAAATGAAACAAAGGAATGCAAGTTAGACCTGGGCAGAGGATGGACTGGGTCAGACCTCATGAAATGAGCACATCTGGAGAGTGTCAGACTGGGTAATGCTGGTCAATACCAACCATAAGTGGCCTCTTTCCTCCACTCCTTTTATCCCTGGGCTCAGGTATTTCTAAAAGAGCAGATTTGGATAGTACATACCAACAGCATCGGCAGTCTCCAAGGTGCTGAGCAACTGCTTGGAGAAGGCAATAACCCCATGGATGTTTCCAAACAGTCCTTCGAAGTCTACATTTGGCACCTAAAAGGAAGCAAGGAAGCATTTGTTCCAGCTGATGCTCAGCAACAAAGTGTATTTCCCTTTCTTTCCTCACTGACACAAAAGAAGATAGAACACTAACAATCTTCCTGGATTAGCATTGAGTGATGTTTCAATGGCTGAAATCCTACTGCTTAGCTCAGTTAGTTACAACTAGAGTAGAACCACTGAATCAATGGAATTTATGGAGGAGTTGACTCACCAAATTCCCACTGACTGAATGGTCTTCTTCTAGTTGTGATTTACTATGCTAAAAAAATTCATAGGGTCACCTTAAGTTGTAAACAACTAGACAGTACTTAACAATAGCCAGTATTCTTGTGGACAAGTAGATACTTGTCCTTCAGTCTCCGTGGTTAATGTCCAACAGTCTAGTAAGCATAAAAAACCCGTAGCTCTCCATATTTAGAGGAACTGTTCACCAATCATCCACCACTATCAGCCAAGCTTGATGAGACTGCTGGGCACTGGAGTCTGACAGTTGTAGGTCTATTGGCCCCTCAGCCCACCTCTGGTCACTACACCCAGTCACTCTATCACCCCAAATGCTTTCTCATCCCATGTGAAAAGCCAATCTGTTGATCAGCTCCAGCCAATGAATATCTCCTACAGGCTTTGCCCCAGACGTATACCATTCTCACCTGTGCCTCTTGCAAGGGCACCAGCACCTTCTGTACACACATCTCCAGGTCCCGGATATAATCCCGCTCTGTTTGCAGCAGCTCCTCAATCACCTTTGCCCTCTTCTCCAACATCCTCTGTTCTGGGTTGGGAGTGGTGGCTGCAGTGGCCACAGACTCCAGAGAAGCCGGCTGAGAGGAGAGCAGGGTCATTTCTGAAAGAGACACAGAGGCAATTGGGGCAAGATTCAAAGTCACGGCGCCTCCTTTAAAATTGCAGTAGGCCACTGGAAGTCTTTGGGCCAAAGCCAGCCTACTGATGACCAGCAGCTGGCCTTCAAGCTCATGAAAGGGCTTTTACAACTAGGCAGCCTCCTCACTCTGGGGTTCAGGGGTGAGGGACACAAGACTGCCAGGAACACACATTGCACCACCCACATCTTTCCGGTAATCTCCCACTTCCAGAGGACAAGGAGTGTATTGGTGTGTAATTTTCAGCCAGCAATGAGTCTGCTGGCAACAGCAAGAAACTGAGAGGAAGCCTGGCTGGTCCAAGACATTCTGCTGAAAATGTCACCGAACCCAAGCATAGCCAGATTATTTTGACACCTGAAGCAAAACATTCTACAGTATATGCACCACTTTCCCCTCACTGAACAACAGAGCAAGCATGCTCTCAGTTGCTAACAAACTTACTGTTCATTCATAACACTGAACAGCTGCAAGAGGTAGCTGCCTCACAAGAGAGAAGAGCTGAAGGAGAAGGAATTGTCCCTTTGACTTTAGAACATGCAAAGAGTCATGCAAATTCCCCCACAGCAGATCCACTTCAGAAAGTTCACTGTGGAAGGCATAGATGTTGCAATACTGAATGTGCTAGAAGGAGCCATGTGAAGACATAAGGCATTTAAAGACTCGCCCTTATAGGCGATGTCATATTTTAACATGTACAGATAAGGTGTGTACAACACAAAGAATAGGCAGGTGACAACCAATTGCTCCTAAAAATCTAATGAATGGGCTCAGTGTTTGCCAGGCAGTATTAGCCTTGTCTAATACAGTGCAGCAACACAGCAGATTAAATGTGAATAGCTTGCTTAAAAACTTTGAACAAACACAATGCAACCACTAAAATATAAGTAGAAGATTAGCAATAGGTTAAAAAGAGTTACAGTATAATATAATGCTTCTCTGTACCCACCATATAACCAAATTGTGCAGGAGTATAGGAAAGAACAATAGCCATGCACTAATCATCACACTAAAGAGGCAGAGGATTATACTCATGGATCAGTCCTTTGCATCTTTAATTCAGAAGTAAGGCCTACTTGATTTAGTAGAGCTACTGAATCACTTTCAGAGCCAGTCTTCAGGCAGAGTGAAACAATCACCTTAGGCAGCAGACACAAGAGACAGGGAGTGATGTGTGAAGAATAGGGCTGCCTGGATCATGAGGTTTGTTGTACTGCTCTCTACTTTGGTGGAGGACGCTGCCCTATAGACAGCACTGAAGTGAGACCGGTTTCTGTTCTGGAGTGTATCTACACCATACAATTACAGTACAACAATTTAGTAACAATTTAACTGCAAGAACCAAGAATGTCCAGTCAGTTCCTGTATTTGCAATGGGATGGGGATCTTTTTTTTTCTTTTCCTTTTTTGCTTCTCTTCCAGGAAAGCATGCACATAATTGTTTCACAGAAAACCTAAGCAAGAGATCTAAGATTTTGTATATGAAGTGATAAGTACTTTATACTTATGCAACAAAACTGACTCAATGTCAAAAGTAGATTGGGAAAACAAGTATAATAGGGATATTGTATTACTTTTTCATTCAATCCTAAATTATAGGCACAACAATTAAAAATTAAGCAAGATTATGTTCTTTTGCAGATAACGACCAACAAGAAATCTTTGCTACTAGAAGCAACAACAGTAGCAATAAGGATTTTTTTAAAAAAAACAAGCAAATTCATGGAACTCAATTAAAAATTATAAGCACAGCTACTCAGTGCATCTTTCTCACTGTCTCTAAATGTTTAATCTGCCAGAGACTGGCAGATAAAACATATTACAACATGCAGTGGCTGCAATCTTTGATCCAGCCAGATTATTACTGGTTTACTTCTGCCTGGCACAAGACAAAACTTAATGCAAGGTTTAGACAATGCAGGACTGTTGTCTAGGAGACTTGAGCGAATGAGAATGAATGAGTGGGCATAAAGCAAGCAGCTTTCTTCAACCTTCTGCTTGGATTACAAAAACTATCACTCAACTCCTATTGTTTGGGGATGCTGGGGATTGTAGTCCAAGCAATTCTGAGGATTTGGGGGGTGAGACTGGGATGGGGAAGGCATGTTAGCTTGCTTAAAAACTTTGAACAAACACAATACAACCACTAAAATATAAGTAGAAACAGTGAAAGGTCCCATGGCCAGGATCGCAGCTGCCGATTTAACCTGTACTGTAGTCGAAAGAGGCTCACAAGTAGCTTTCCAACCTTTGCCTCCGCTCCGGCAGACGGCTGAAGCGCTCCGGACGAGGAGGCGCGCACTTCAGGGCAGCCCGAGGGGGAAGGGGTCGGTTCCCACGGCGGCGCAGCGAAGAAACCGCCAGGCAGAAGTTTTTCCTCCGAAGGGCCCCCGACTGCGCCGTCCCTTTAATCGGATCCTCGCCACAGACTCGAGGCGCCCCTTTCCCCTCCGCTTTCTCTCGGCCAAGCCGGGGGGGGGGGTGGCGGCGCGGCTT